TTGGTCGTTGAGACAACTGAACCACTCGATGCCTCCTCGACTCTAGGTCCGCGTGATAACGAACCCCGTCGGTTTGTTCCAAGGCCTTAGCCAATTGACGAGCGCGGCGTTGGCGTCGCCTCTGACGAGCCCTCTTCGTCAGAGTTGGCAAACTTCGATCGAACGACTCCTTAATTAGGGTGGAATCATTATGAGCAGAGCTTCCGGCTTTGGGGGTTGCCGGGATAATGTTGCGAGGCAATGCCTCAACAACGATTGGGCGAGAGTCTTCACTTTTAGCCTTCTTTGGCGTATAAGCCTTCTTCAATGATGAGATCCTCTTGTACTTGCGAGATAATGAAGATCTTGAAGAGGATGATGAGAGATATTCCTCAAACTTGGTTTGGTCAAACTCGTATTCGACCGTGGATTCAACTGGAATCTTGATCGGCTGCGACACGACGATCTCGGCAGCGAGACCGTTGACTCCCACTGTGGTCGCCAGTTTGTTTGCGTCAAAAGTTGATTTTGTCATGGAATTCATTATATCTTCGGTCGATTACAATAAATTCAAAAGAGATAGTCTTTTTATAAGACTCCTTTTACACAACAAAAGAAAAATTATAACTTTTTAGAAACAAACGCAGGATCGTTGTTTGGATCGCTGCTTGCGTGGGATCTTTGCCTGTGCCGGGGGTGCGTTAGCTCGTGGACCACCGATTCACAGATTCTGATTGAATCGTGAAGGCTTTTGGATATTCTTCTTCGTTTATCGAAGTAAGAATCTTTAAAGCGAATATCTTATCGATGTAAGATGTTCACTCTTCTAAAGATCAAGTCTGAGCTTAGATCTCTAGGAATTGCCAAAAGCTTCTTGAGGATGTTTGTGAAGAAGGAAGACTCTCTCTCTTGCTCTAATTCACCAAAAACTCAAACCTTTTCTGCTCCAATCTGCCCTCCCAAGTGCTCTCTGTCCTTTATTTCGTGTCTAGGGAAGTATTTATAGGGGTAGGAATGCACAACAGTTAAAATAAGGGCAAAATAACCGACCAGATAACTGTTCTTTGGCCGCTGCAGTTTACACTGTCGCGGCCATTGGCGCGGCAGTATGGACTGCTGCGGCCAAATAGGCGGTTATCAGCACGTTCCATCGTGCCCAAAACCGTTCTCCCACGACCTTTAACCACCTTTTTCGTGGTTTAACCGCTTGTCCACGTCAGCACACGTTCTATTTCTGATATGTCGCCACGTGGGTCTCAAAACTCATCGTATAACTGCCTTGTAACTGCCACAGCACTCCTCTATAATAGCCGCGGCACCCTAAGCTGTTGCGCCTAAGCCGCGGCACTATAGGCTGTCGCGCCTAAGGCGCGACACTCTGAACTGTCGTGCCTAAGGCGCGACTCTCTGAACTGTCGCGCCTAAGGCATGTCACCCTGGCTTGCTTGTTGGTGTATCGTTGTGTCTACACTGTTCTTTTCTCATCCTTGAGTAGTGTTTGGATATCTATGAGCATTTTTTGACGCCTACAATCTCTACTTTTTTTTCATGGTTTTTCCTCCACAAATAGAAGAATATATATAGAAAAACCAAAACCCTATCTCTAGCCTAACTTCCTAATTAGAATAGGATTCAAACTCCTAATCATGATAAAACCCAAACTCCTAATCATGATAGAACTCAAACTCCTAATCATGATAGAACCCAAACTCCTAATCATGATAGAACCCAAAATCCCAACAGAAATTACTTGCCTACTGTTCAAAACCACTAAAAGAGGCAAAACATCATGGGTCATAAGTCATGAAATCATGAATTATAGCTCACGAAATTATTTGCCATGGGTTGAAACCAAAAAATATTGCTAAAACTCTTTGTTTATAGCTCATGAAATTAGGAAATTTCCCTCCAGGATATTATTTGCCTACCGATCGTAACCACTAAAATTGATCAAAAATCATGGATACAATTCGTGAAATCATGAATATTGGCTTTTGCAAAATTATTTGCCATTAGGTCAAAACCACTAAAGATAGCCAAAAACAGTGGGTTATAGCTCATGATATTGCAAATCTTAGTTTTCAAGAAATTATTTGTCTATGGGTTGAAACCACTAAAAATGGTCAAAAAGCATAGGCTATGCTCATGAAAATTTTAATTTTGTCTTCTGAGAAATTGTTTGCCTACGGGCTAAAACCACAAAAAATGATCAAAAATCATGAGCTATAGCTCTTGAAATAGTGAATTATAGCTCACATAATTATGTGTCAAACGGTTGAAACCAAAGACTATGGCCAATTCTTGTGGGTTATAGCTCACGAAATCATGAAATTTTCCTACAGGATATTATTTGCTAATTGGTCGAAACCACTAAAATTGGCCAAATTTTTTGAAGATTTCTAATCTCGTAAGGAATTGGCCTGGCCAATTGATTATTGCTAAGATCCATGAAAATGAGTTCAGAGAGAGTTAAGATGCTTGGAGGTATGGATCCATATACAAATATATATATATATATATATATATATATATAGAAGAAATTTGAACTGAGGATAATAAGAGTGAGATTAGGGAGAGAAGTGAAGTCTAGCTAGTTGGTCAAGGGTGCCATTGAGCTCAGAATTGGCCAAGTTTAGATGTATGATGCTTCCATTGATAATGCAAAGGACACCAAACCAGCTGCATGGATTTGTGAAGGACCATGAAGTGGGTGAGTGATCAGGTTCAAGCAAGCTTGATTTCCAACGGTCACAGAAAAGAGGAGAAAGAGGAGTTGAACGAGGATAAGAAGTTGAGATTGCACTAGATTCATTGTTGGATGCTGAGAAAGTTTGTAAATAATCCTGAACTTCATATTGTGTTGATGAAAACGTAATGGTGGACTTTTAAGTCAACTTTTAGTCTTGAGTCAAAAAAAAAAATTTACAGGAATGAAAATTTTTAAAGCCTATTATTAGACTAAGGTTCAATGGCCATCTTTATTTAATTGTGCATGAAATCTCCCTTTAAGAAAGATGAGAAACTTCCAAGACCTTAAAACACAAGTAGAGTCACTAACAGAATTATGCTGACAAAGTTTTAGTCTTTAACAATTAGGCTAGGTGTCTCCTCCCATGACCACTCAAAGTCAAGAAACTGCAATAAACTGCAACAAAAATTAGGTAACATGGATGTTTATCTTGCTATTTAACGTATCTGAAAATTTTCCCTTGATTTCCAGTTTAATTTGACATGGGAGGTTCCCTTAAATTAGAATTCATGGACATGTCCATAAATTGCAAAATGCACACACATGAATAATTACATCGAGAGATTAAAATTACAGTTGAGGATTGTTAATTACTTTTCATTTTTTTTACAGCTAGATAAATGTGACTCGATTGCATGCAAGTACAGTTGCAACCATTCCAATTTCAGGCTACCAAACGCCCCACGTAGCGGATCAGTAATTAACTCGATCTTAATCGTGAGTTGTGTTCTTAAGTGCTTGAGAGTTCCCCATGTTTCATGCGGACCCCGAGTCGTGGGCCACCGACCACCATACACCGTATAAATTTACAATACACATGGTACGGCATTTGTTGTTCGTCACCTCTATTGGAATCACCACGCGCATCGCATAGGTGTCACCTCGATTTAGTTATATTTCTTATATTAATATTTATTTAATTATATTTAGTTTACTTTTTAATTATTTTAAAATCTAAACATTGTGATAAATGATGCTTATGAGTGTACCAACTATTTTAAGTCTCACGTTTCAGACGTAGACTTAAGCTATGAGCTCTTTCGTTGTTTATTCATTCTCTCTACAATTTTGTTTCTTTATTTATTTTATGTGTAATATGAGAGCGATGAATTGTTAGATGTAATTTAATACCATGAATGTGGTATAATGAAAAATGTAGGGTTATGACAGCTCTTTGTTCACGGGTCAGACCACACTAGGACTAGACAGGGCCAAAGTGGCATGGGCCAAGCACTTTGGTCCTACGTTCAGCCTCATACCCGACCCGACTCAGCCCATCGCCCCAATGATGCCCGAGTCAGGTCAGCCCGATAATATTTGGGCCGGATCGGTTCCGGCTCATGCCCACCCTACCTCGGCATACCACTAATATGGGAAATTAAGCCCACGTTGACCAGACTAGGCCCGAATTGGCCCAGTCTAACGTAGATGGTATAGAAAATTCTATGCGTACCTCCACACGAATGGCCCCTATAGTTGTTCGAGAGTTGCCGCGCGAACTAAATCCGCGGTAGTTGCTGTAGTCAGTAGGTGTCACGAGTCAAGCTTAAGGTAACCTAGTCCAGCAACGTGGATAATTTTTCGGTTTTTTGCATATGAGCCCTTTACTTTATAATTGTAAATTAGTCCCTAATATTTTATTATTTACATTAGTCCCTCAAATATGTAGTTTTATAGCGATTTCGTCCGTTTGTCAGTTTTTTTTGTTATTTTCTCTAACCATGATTAGGTTAACCCTTAACCCAGCATCTCTAATTACCTAAACCCCTCAACTTTTATAGGATGGAAACTTTAGAGGATTATATAGGATTTAGAGGGAATATTACCATGAAATGAACTTTGAGGTGTGGTTGGAGGTGCCCTTGACAATTGAGTAAGAAGAACTTTTCGGGTTTGGATTTTAGGATAAGTGAGTTATAGGTTTAAACGCACCCTTAATGAAAATAGGTAAACCCTCTCATTTTGCTAAAGATGACAAGAGTATTCCCCTCAAAACTCACATCACTAAACCAGAGGAAGAAAATTGCAAGTGGCATAGAGGTTTGAGGGAGTACTACATAAATATTGAGATTTAAGGGACTAATGTATAATTATGGATGATGTAAGGGACTAACATGCAATTACCCCATAATTTTTTTCAACTGCCCATTAATAATTAACACAAAATACTTATTTACGGTTAAGAACTGTCCACGGCTTTACCAGTAAAATACCCCGCAGGTTTACCATACCGCTGTGCACTGGACAGCGGCAAGCCACGAGCATCGTCGTATTCGATTTAAACCCCAAAAACTCAAAAAAAAAAATTCAAGAAAAAAATTCGAAATAATTCAAAAAAAATGGGAGAAGAATCAACAAAACCTCCAATGATCGGGATCAAGAATCTCAGATTCACATACCCAGGGATCGACGGACATCCGCCTCCAGGATCGGCGCCGCTCATCGACGATTTCAATCTATCCCTCAACGCCGGCGATCGATGTCTCCTCGTTGGATCTAATGGAGCTGGTGAGTTCTTGAATCGATTGATTGAGGTTGAATTGTTGAGATATGATTGATTTTGAGTTTGGATCTGAAATTAGGGTTTTTTTTTGGGTGTTTTGATAGGGAAGACGACGATACTGAAGATTTTGGGAGGGAAGCACATGGTGGATCCTGAGATGGTTAGGGTTTTGGGGAGGTCGGCGTTTCATGATACGTCGTTGACATCGTCGGGAGATCTCTCGTATTTGGGCGGAGAGGTTAGTTACGATTACAAAGTTGGAATTTTTGCAGTAAATGTGTTTTGAAACAGTGGTCTTTTGATTATTAAATGGAAATTTGAGGAAGTTTGCAACTTTTAGGATAATCGTTCTGTGGGGTTCAATGTCATTAAGAGTTACATGATAGCTCAATTAAAATGCTTAATCACAATTAATAAAGTCCACATTTTGGATTAAGGAGCAGAGTGAGTATTCACACATTATTATACAAAGTACGTAAGTTCCATCTGAAGACTAATGGTAAAAGAATGATGAGATTATCGTAGTGAAGAAACTTCTCATCTGTTTAAAAAACCAATATTTGGAAATGAGTGCAGTATGAACTTTGAGCTTAATTTTACTTACAAAAGGTAGGGCCAGATACTTAAATTTCTTATGAGATGAGAATTTTGTTTGTCACACACTAAATTATGGTTGAATTGCAGTCATAAATTTTCTGTATAAATTTACTGTAAAACATAGTAAGGTAGGTAGAGATTTGTGCAGATTAAATTTCTAACTGTATGTAACTTGTTTCATGAAACAAACACATCATCTAACTTTTGTGAGGGGAGGGTCATAGATAACAAAATGGAATTTTTTTTCCCTCTGAATAATTGAAATAATTCTTTTAATCTCCATTACTTTAAATGTAATTATGCGAAAAATCACACAATCCAGAGATCTGTAACCCACCTAGTTAAGTCATTTTAAAATGAGGGGTTAGGGTTAGGCTGTGTGATCTTCTTCTCATAAACATCAACATTATTGTTAGGAGATGGTGATTAAGATGAACAGTTTGCATTTTTAAAGGAGATATTTGGAAGAATTGAGATTAAGATGGCGATCAAGGTGAAGTGATGCCTTAGATCCTATTTCCTAACTTGCTCACTGAGTTAATAAATGAAAGAAGACTTGTGTCCCAAACAAAATATGTCCTGATTCATGATATCAAACTGTCCATAGCTTCATGATCTTACTGCAATTTTAATATAGAAACTTTACTTTGTAAATTGATTTCAAGCCTAAGGTAGAACGAATATGTTGTGAACGTTATTCATGAGACATGTGTGGTTTATGTAGTGGAGGAGGGATGTTGCTTTTGCTGGTTTTGAGGTTTCAATACAGATGGACGTATCTGCAGAGAAGATGATATATGGGGTCTCTGGCATTGATCCTCAAAGGAGGGAGGAGCTGATCAAGGTATGGCTTTTCTATCTCTTGGTGAATTTCATTAGTAAGTTATATTTGTACAATTTGTGGCCTACAATTTATCCAAGAAAGTCACATTCTTAAATTTAGTGTCCTTTAGAAAAAGAACAATGTTAGACTGGATATGCCATGCTATATGCATAACAGTAATTTAGTTTAGATACATTTCGAAAATGTGACTAATCAAATGTATTGCCTGGTAAATTTTCACTCAGGTGTTAGACATAGATCTCTCATGGAGAATGCACAAGTCATCAGATGGTCAGAGAAGACGTGTTCAGATCTGCATGGGTCTTCTTAAACCTTTTAAGGTTTGCAAGTTTTGTGCAGTATTTAAACCAGCTGTATAGTTTGTAAAATGAAGATTTACATGAGTACAATTCATGTTTCTTTCCTGTATTTCTAGGTTCTCCTTCTTGACGAGATTACTGTTGATCTAGATGTGCTGGCGAGGGCCAATCTTTTGAACTACTTAAGGAAGGAATGTGAAGAAAGAGGTGCAACAATTATTTATGCAACGCATATTTTTGATGGTCTAGAGAATTGGCCAACACATATGGTAAGTTTTGCAGTCATAATTTTGTTCTGCAGTCATATATAAACTTCTGCATTAACTTGTGGAATTTCTCAATAACAGGTGTATGTTGCGCATGGGAAATTGCAGTTAGCATTGCCTCTCGAAAAAGTTAAAGAAATGAGCAATCTCTCCCTGATGGTAAGAATTTGGTGCCTTTGTTTTCTTCTTGTATGTAATACCAAGAATTAGGATAGATATATGAACTGCAGGCATCTTGAGGTAAACAGAGTTCACGTAAATAGAAACATTGTTAGCACCTTGGGTGGAAACCTAACGTGCAGCAGAACAATGTTTACAGCAAAACAATAAAAAGAAAAAGAATGAAGGAACGAAAGAAAGAAAATCACACATGAAAATAGAGTGGTTAACTCTGCATGGGCAAGTAATATGTTGGTGGTTCCCTTTAAAGGAAACCTTTAAGCTTTCCTCCATAGCAGGTTCTTTTGGGTGTAATTGCCAAGTGTTCAAGGTCTCTGAGTCTGCTTTTGGGAAGACTGGGGTTAATTTTTTTCTATTTAAAAAATTACAATACCATCCTTGGCTGAACTTCTGGTAGCTTAGCTGCTTCACTGGCTATAGTCTTTTCCTCAAACCTAAGTTCTCTTGTTCTAGTAAAATCTCTACTTTTCAGCGTGGTTGGGTGACAACCTATTAGGATTGTATGCAACCACTCGCCTATTTTTCGATTACTGGTTGGAATGCCCGGTTAACTTAACTAAAGCCCAACAATCTGAAAGCATGAACCTTGGACGACTAATGAACCCCTAAATACTGAATGCAGTGACTTAAAATGGGTTATTGGGTTCAACTTAAATTGGGAGCTAGACTAGTATATTCTTAAATACTGCACGCAATGAGTGTTTACATGCAGGTTACCAGAATCGGGATTGTTTTAACACACAGTTTTCTTCAGTTTAGATAATCATGCAATTTTTTAAGGCATGGCCAGTACATGATCTCTCTAAACCCTCTGCAAGTCAAAATAAACGCTGAAAAGGCCATCTCTGGCTAGATGATATTCGATGGTATCGGCTACTGTTTGTTCATGGTTTTTCTTTCATTCGGCAGAGAACGGTTGAGAGTTGGCTAAGAAAGGAGAGAGAAGAGGACCGGAAGAGACGAAGGGAAAGAAAAGCAAAGGGTCTACCTGAGTACGAGAACAGAGGTGAGGGCACTCGGGTTGTAGGAGACCCAGCCAAGCATGCTGTTCGTTTGATAAACAACGGCTGGGCAGGAGGAAGGCTAAACTCGACTGTTGCGGGTGAAGAGAACTTCGTCTTCAGCTCAAATCGTGTTCTCAGGCAATAGTCCCCATTTTTTCAATCTCTTGTTGTTTCGTTTGAAATTTTATTAAAACTGTGTTAATTATGTGATGCAAATGTATGCCAATGGCTTTTCCATTGGTATCGATGGCAAAAGCATATTTGTTGTTTGTGTTCAAAAAATGTGAACCACAGAAAAAAGAGAGCAATAATATTAGCCTGTGTTCTGCTATTTGCAATTTACAGGTGATTTGGTAACCTCCTTGCATGATTGCAGTTTGCTCTTATGAAGTAAAATATTTTAATGTAAAATGTGTACTGAAGCACGGGCTCCCGTTTTTATTTTTTTAAGCACGGTCGTTAGAACTTGTTTCTCTTTAAGTTTTAATGCATTTGGTTTGATTATTGTATGCTTAAAATTATATTTACTCTTTTATATTTAAAAAAAGAATCCAAGTTTTAATAAATTTGATTTAGAATTATATCTACATTAAAAGAATGATTCAAATGTTAGTGTAGCAAAAATTTATGTTATTCTACAGTTTTTTTATTGTAGTATGAACAATACTTCAGAATAGAGGGCACCTTCTGTTTATTGTTCATTGTTACAGTATTGATTTACTGTAATACAAACAGTGACATTTAGTGTAGCGCGAGCAATGATTCTTGGGTGTTCTCATGTAAGTATAGAAGAGTAGATTGTGTAATATTTTGATATCCCTTCAAGCTGGGGATTGGGATCCTCTCCTAATGAATAGTGGTCCTAATATCTCCTAATAAGGAGATATTAGCCTTTGATTTATCAATCAAAGGTCAATATCTCCTCATGAGCAAAAGTAAGGGGCCCCCTACTTTTGCGCATGAGGAGATTTTGACCTTTGATTGATAAATCAAAGGCCAAAATTTCATTAGGAGATATTAGGAACCTCTTTATTAGGAGAGGATCCCAATCATCAAGGTGGTGCCCAAGTAGCACTGCTGCAGTTAAGGCCTGGCTCACTAGAATAATGCTAATTAGACTTTAACTTTTATATTAAATTTAGTAAGTATGCACTGTTTTCTGCAGAACGGCTATAAGAAATCATGAATCCAGAAGAATCCTACATAGGTTAATTAGCACTTAAATACCCTATAGTTTCCCCTTCTTCGCACTTATATACCCTCACCTGTCTTTTAGCGGCACTTACATACCCTGAAGTAAATAACTATAAATAGCCCTCATATTTAGATAACAATAAACATATTCCATCCCCCCATACCCAACAATGTTTGTTCAATAAGAAAATATCCCATGAATCACAAATCACATATATTGAAAAAGTAACTTTTCAACTCAGCACATTATTTCAACCCATCAATATTCTATCGGCAAAAAAGACAAATTCACATTATAATAAGCAGCACAAAGTAAGGCCAAGAAATCACGACATAATTAATCAACGGAACGTAACCTGGTAAATTCGATGAATGTGATTTTAGAGTATAAAGATAAAGAATGGCAACACCACCTAAAAGCAAAGTGAGAAATGACAAGTTCCACTTTATTCTGGGCATACTACATCAAACTCCAAGCTCCATAATTCAGAACTCATAAGCATATTTGAAAACAGCACATATATTATAAATCGAATTAGCTAAGCGGTAACTTTCTACTCTGGCACGAAACTCCAAACTCATCATCCTCAGGACATCTACTAAGCCTGCAAATAAACAAAGAGACCATTTATCAGTATATCGATGAAAGTCGTTTCAATTGGTGTGGTTGGCTAATGGATAAGCAGTATCGATAAAAGTTGTTTCAATCGTTACGGTTGGCTAATGGATAAGTAGTGAGACCTTGTTAGCGATGTTGTTTGAGAGCCAATCGAGACCCTCGTAGAGCCCTTCTCCAGATGTGGCACATGTACTCTGTATGTACCTGAAAGAACAAATTGGATAAATTGATGATTATGATTATTTTACCATTCTGTCGACAATAGGATCACGATAAAGCAGACAGATAAAAAATGACTAACCAGTGGCGTTGGCGAAGAGAGTGCAGCCCCAGCTTGTCCGTAATTTCAGCTGCATTCATCGCATTAGGAAGATCTTGTTTGTTTGCAAAGACAAGCAAAACAGCATCTCTCAGCTCATCCTGCACAAAGAAAACAAGTTTTATAATCAAAGGGTCCCTCCTGAGGTTGCGCATTCTGAGGAACGCTGATTATATAAGAACAAAGCTCATTTTAAGGAGATCGTGCACTTTATAGAACTGAACAAGGAAGTTAGGGTTACCTCATTTAACATCCTGTGAAGTTCATCTCTCGCCTCAATAGCACGATCTCTGTCATTGCTGTCAACAACGAAAATGAGGCCCTGGGTGTTCTGGAAGTAGTGTCTCCATAATGGACGGATCTGATATACCAGTGAGCCAATGATAAAATTACCGCAAATATCAGAACAAATTTGTATACAAGGAGGAAGGGCAAGGAGGGTTAAAAAGAAGCAAATTTCATCACTTGCCTAGCCCTCCTAAGGTGGAAGGATTGGGAGGGGAGGGATTTGAGTTTTATGTGTGTTCCCAGATGATAGGAGCTATAATGAGGAATAAATATAAACCACCAGCAAGCCAACACTAAAATTATTGTATATGAGAATGTTGATGTTACATATAAGACATGGCATGTAATTTCCAGGGGACAAGAGCTAGAACTAGAAATAACTATGAAAGGTTAGTTGGAAAGGTAAATTGCACATTACCCCCTCCTCTATACCTTTAGTCCCCTCAAATCATTTATTACCACTTACCACCCTCCATTCATGAGAAAAAGGGGTACTACTTGCAACTTTTCTTTTTAAAAATGTCATGTTAGGGGTGTTAAGTGCTAGTACATGACTTGAGGGAGAAAGGTATAGATGAGGGGGCTTATGCGGCAATTTACCCTAGTTACAAAGTAAGGAAAAACTTAGGGGGGATCAGGCGGATGATTGTGAACCATTGTCATTGTATCCTTTTCCATGATAGGCACTTATCCCCACCAGAAATTGCTATATCCAGCAAACAAACGCAATACATGTTTATGACACCTACAAACTTGACAACTGTTATCCACTTGACAATACATATGAGATAAAATCTACTATTTTCTAGATCAGTTTGATAATATTTTAGGTTCTTTATATGAGATTGATGAATGATACGGTAGATATACCTAAGAGTCAAATACACGTACATTCTGAAGATATCGATATAATTCTTTTCAAAAGTCGTTTCCTTCACAGTTTATAGCTATGTCAAACTTAACTAACTTTACAAAAGACTGCAACCTAGAAAGGGACATACAAAGGTCATGCTAGCTGAAGACATAAAGAAGAATCTTGTATTCAACTTTATGATCAAATTGAGAAAATTGGATTTTCTTTGAATTCACTGAAGAAAGCAGATTGGATTCTAATTTCATAAATATGAAGGATGTGCATACCTTGTCCTGACCACCAACATCCCAGACAGTGAAACTGATGTTCTTGTACTCCACTGTCTCTACATTGAATCCTGACAAATACATGAAATCAATCTCAGTAGAAGTTGGAGAATCTTTTTAACAATGAAAACGAATAATAAAGTTGTTTCCCGCACGGAAATCACTTGATCACGTAACACTTCTACATTAAATTTTTATACAAATGTTTTCCTTCAAAAGAATAGTTGGATTTAGAGGTCCTACTCTATGGCAATGGATAGAAAGGGGTAACAAGGATGGTCAATAAAGTAAGACACTTGCAGATACTTTTTTTAGTAATTCGGCTCACCACCCTTAAGGAGAGAAAACAGCGTCCCCTAAAGATTGGGGACACAAAAGTCAACACTCTAAAGACTCCACTATTATAGGTGCTAAAAATAATTCACCACTCGATAGAATCCAACTAGAAGAACTGAATGAGAGTAGAGAGCACAAACCTTTTTAGATTTCCTTAATAATACAATAGCTCATCTCACATATTCTTACTTTGGGATATAGGATGCTTCAAATGCCCCTATGTGTATTGTGTAATAGCAAGACACTTAAGCAGAAACCAAAAATACTCAATGCATTTAGTGTAACTCATTTTCATTTACAGCAAAAAGAAATTTGCAAAGGCACTTAGGTAGCTACATTTAGCTCGATTCATTAATCACATAAAAATGCAACAAACACTTATAAAACCAACATTGTACCACTTGAAAATGCAACAAACACCAAGGAAACCAACATTGTACCATACAGGCCAACAGTGTACATCAAGCTATTCTAGTGCATGCGAAGTTTATTTGCAACACTTATGGGGGAAAACAACAAAGGATAAATGCCAGGGGCTAAAAGTTGAAAAAATGATAACTAAATTTATAGTGGTAAGTACCATCTATATTATCTAGCAGGAGGAAGTAAGTAGCCTTAAAAAACTGACTTGAGAAACAGTCAATGTAGTAATGCATAAATTCGAAGTAAAGACAAAACGTTTAAAGATTACAGTGTCAAGGTTGTTGAAAAAGGCATGCCAAGTCAAAAGGCTATATCTTCATTCTTGAATTAAAAATTTCTTTTCTTTCAAATTATTGTGAAACATATCATTTCCATGTATCATTTCCATGTACAATATAAAAAAAAGTAGCATTACACCATAAAATAATTTTATTTGGTATCTCATATGATGAGAAATTCAGTCCTCCCTCAACCATCGGATAACAAGCCATCAGCTACATTAGCATCATAACCATAAGTTTTGGCTCATCACAAGCTAAGGATCAAGATTCCACAACATTCATGAAGCAATATGTGATTAACATTGGCACGGAATCAAACGAAATTAACCCGGAGGAACTTGAAACTCTGACAGATTACACTCAACTCTCTCACTGAATAAAAACGGCATAGATCATTTTAGAACGTTGGCCTAAATATTGAACTAGACCAGGGCAGTGTATTATCATGATTAACTAAAACAATGTAATCGCACTCCCACTCATCTTATCCTGGAATACGTACCGATAGTAGGGATGGTCGTGACAATTTCTCCCAGCTTCAACTTGTACAGAATGGTAGTCTTACCCGCAGCATCGAGACCCACCATCAGAATCCGCATCTCTTTCTTCGCAAACAGACGGCTGAAAAGCTTACCAAAGGACAGCCCCATCTTCCCTAATCTTTCAATCACATGCAAACAGACTAAAATTATCCGAAATAAAAGATTCAACAATAAAGTTGATTAAACTGATAATTAGACCAATTATTTTCCAAGGATCACAAGTGTAGCATAGCCGATATCTTAACCAAATTAGTCAAATTTTGATTAGATACCCTAATACAAATAAATTGGTATTTAATATAGATTAGATACCCTAATACTATGAAAACTAACTAGATCTAGCCGTACGAAATGAATTCCTAGCCCAATGTGTGAAAAAGTTTTTCTTTTTATATAATTAGAAATCAAGATGCATGAAATCAAGCGAGAAAGTAATCAAATCTTAGATCCCTAATCAATTCGTGGAGAAGAATTTGACGGAAAACCTTGAAAAATATACAGAATTGTACGCTTCTGATCTCGTTCTTGAAGAGAGAATAGGAAACCCTAATTAAGCGATGTAATTATATAATCAAATTTAGATCAACAAATCTAGATCTACAGAGAATGGAGAAAGAAATGACTTACGAATTTGGGGGAAAATAGCGAGAGAGAAGATGCCGTGATCTCCCTGGGGTAATTAAATGAAGGGGTATTTATTTAGTTTATATATACATATACAAGGGTTAATTGCAAACAGACCCCCTTTGCATCAGTCAATTACAAAGGGATCCTATGTAGTTCTACTTGTTGTGAATAGACCATTTATAGTTCTACTTATTGCGAATAGACTCTCTTAGCGTTGCCCAAGTGCGGACACAGCGCCGAATGAACTTTTTTTACTCTCTTAAAAGTAAAATATAAAAAAAAGAGCAATTGAGTGTCTATCCTCGCCCATAGAACTATAATGGGCGTAATTGCCTCCTCAAATATTTTTAATGATTTTAAGAGTAAGAAACATTCATGGGCCTATTCATAATAAGTAAAAACTATATAGAACCTCTTTTGCGATTGACTGATGCTACAGAGAGTTTGTTCGCAATTAACATATTTATGTGTGTGTGTTTGTGGGTAACAATAGAAAATAAATCCTAAATGACAAATTTTCAAAACAAACCTTTTTTAAAACTTATTTTTAAAACATGTTTTAACTTTAATTATCAAAACTGACCTACTTTCAGCCTCAGGGCTGAAATTGGGTCGGTTTTGGTAATTAAAGTTGAAACATGTCGTTTTGGTGGAATATTTTTGCAAAAGGATTGGTTTTGAAATTTTGTCCAAATCCTAAATAGGGCTTTTGCTTCTAGGACTGCCCACTTTTTGTTAAGTTTAAATTAGTCCGCTAAAAGAGGTATATTTTTAACAAGTCCCTCAAATCCCTTTAGTTATATCCTCTCCAGTTTGAATAATTATCTTGACCCCCCTTATAAACTTAGGAACGCTGTTAATCCTTGCCATGTCTAGAGACCTTGGGCGATATCCGACGATTGACTGTCACCACCTCTGGCCATCTCCGATTGTCTATGCCAACCATCCGACTGTCACCACCTCTGGCCATCTCCGATCGTCTATGCCAATCATCGGTCAGTGGTCACCGCCTATGAATATTTGCAGTCGCCATGAAATACTAGCAGGGTCCTTTTTGATATAGATTAAAGACTTGGGGACTCATTGAAATATCAATCGTGTAAGGACCTAGTTAAAATTAAAGAACAATTGAGGGACTGTAAAAGATAATGGAAACAAACATTTCTGAGTATTCTTTGAAAATAATTTCATTCTCGCTCAAACGTTGAAAAGAATCGCTAATCATGACGACAAGTAACGGCTAAGTTAACATTACCCACGCACGCGAGTAATCTATATTCTACGTATAAAAGAGAGCTGTGTATTAAAATCTTTTATTACTCTTTTTTAGTCCTCTCAAATTTGATTAATCTAACTTTACTTTAATTAATTTATTTTTTTGAATTTACTATCTCTTCACGTGCCTCTTAACGTAATAATACTTATTAAGCCAAGTACTTCAAATAGTTTATTTGCCATCTATAATATAGTGCAAGTTGATTTTTACAATAGACTATAGAATTCATGCCAAAAATTTCATAAAACACAAACATCAATGTGAATTTAAGCTTCTGCCAGTTATAACTATTTTACAATTCATTGTGGGGAAACAATATTGTAGCATAGTATCATATTTTGAGAAGATTATGAATAAAATGCTATAAATTATGAATAAAATGCTGCGAATAATTCAAACTTAACATATACTAAGATGAATATGAGCTCAATTTTATTTTATCATAACACAAAACAACTTGTTCATATACAACGCACGTGCATTATACTAATCTATTTAAATACAATTTACACTTAAACCCACTCCTTATACGCAGTGAGAAATGACTGACACAAAAATCCTTCTGAAAAAAATTTTGGATCCTCTTGAGTGCGTCACTGAGCTCAAACTTTATACTTTGCAGTGGTCTGCAAGCTAACGCTGCTGCAGCTTTGAAGCAGTAATAGAACGAGAAATTACATAACACAAGACCAACAATAAAAATATTAGAACAATTTTTCAAAACCGACCGATTTTTTTTTTTTTTTCAAAATCGACCGTTTTTTTTTTATTTATCAAAATCGACCCGGTTTTGTGATTAGCAGGTTAATCATTATCCTAAATAGTCGGGATTGCCAACCCCGACTATTTAGGAGGGTGTTAAACCCTAATTAAAGGGTGATTAGCAGGTTAATCACTATCCTAAATAGTCGGGGTTGCCAACCCCAACTATTTAGGATAGTGATTAGCCTGCTAATCACAAAATCGGGTCGATTTTGATAAATAAAAAAAACAGTCGATTTTGAAAAAAAAAAAATCAGCCGGTTTTTAAAAATTGTTCAAAATATTAAGATCAGGAAAAAGCAATGTCACCTACTGCAGAGTACGTTAATTTAATAGGACAACAAACATTTTCAAATCCACTTAAAGACCAGACCACTTCCATTCTCACTAAAACCATGAAGATATTTTACCCATCACAACAACAAAGCAACTATAACAAATTGGCAAAAAAGAAATTTAATACAATTTACATTTAAACCCGCTCACTCACATATATGTAATGATCAATGATTTATCTAACAAAAAGTAAAATTCTCATGAAATTGAACTAAAACTCTCTACAGGATTGGACTCTTCCAGCATGGAAGCAGCCTGGAAGCAGTCAGCAGCGTCGGCCAATCTTCCCTCGTCTCTATGAATCATTCCTAAGTGATACCAGGCCATTCTGTTTGTGGGTTCGAGCCTTAGAGCATCAGATAAGAATCCTCTACCTACTGGAAGGGATTTCGATCCCATTTTCCATAAAAGGGCGCCGATTGAGACTTTGCAAGGGACATAGTCGAGCTCCATTGATAGGGAATTGTTGTAAGCGAGAAGTGCTTGTTTGATGTCCCCACGAGCTTCGTGTATAACACCTGGTGATCAAAGGGCAAATGTAGGGATTTCAACAGGGATGAAAGAAAAATGTGACTATCACATGTACAACAACTACTACTACTTCTAATACTGCTAAGCCTTTATCCAAATTGTTAGGATCAGCTACATGAATACTAATCTTCGATTCAGTTCTACTTTGGGTCATCTCCTCCATCAAGTTAACTATTAACATATCCTTCTTAAATGCTTCCGGCCAAGTTCTTTTAGGCCTACCTCTATCTCTATTTAGGTCAAGCTCTAGTTCTATGTTTATGAGTATGCGTGTTTTCATAGAATTACAACTCTGAACCCTCATCACAACCTGAACCCTCATTACAACCATGGAGTTTTGATATAGTGGAAGAGACTTTAACCTGGGTTTAAACCCGACTGGCTCCGTGTTTAAAACATCGTACTTTTTAAAAGAAAATGTACCGCTACATGAGTCCCAAGTTTCTGTCTATGAAAAGGACGCTCCCCTTGGGTACAAAATTATAATACTCAATGCTCAACACAACTTCGCACTTTTCACGCAGTGTAGGTAATTTAAGAAATGCGTTTATGTTCCTGTCTCTTCTGTTACTTAGTTTTTTAGGTATATAGTAGGTTCATAGTTTGGCCTTCTCATGTTATCACTGAAACAGTTGTTTGATTATAAGCAAGATGCTAGTTAGATTCACAAGACTTCATTATAAGCAAGATGCTAGTTAGATTCACAAGACTTCATTATAAGCAAGATGCTAGTTAGATTCACAAGACTTCATTATAAGCAAGATGCTAGTTAGATTCACAAGACTAAGGAAAGACAAATAAAAATCGTAAAGTGAAAGTCAAAGGGTACAGTGTGATACATTCAATATTAAAAAAAATTTAAATGTGATGGTGGTACTGCATCAAGGATAAGAATGGAGCAATTACTGAAAATCAAAAGAACAGTTCAAATGAGATGCTCTTCAGACTGAAAAAACATGAGTATACTATTTTCGAACCAAACAGAAAGGATGCTACAAGATAATGAAAGTTGAGTATGTGGTATCGCACTGAAAGATGGGAACACTTGCACGCAGTGCTAACTATAATTCTAACGAAAAAAAAGAAGTCAATCTGGTACGAATCAATTTATCTGGAACCACCAATCTTCCATTTTTCAACTTAAATTTATTTTCTAAAATAACAAGGCTTTCAGTTGCTACAGTCAATTAAAAAATTAACAAAGACATGCACAACTAAGGTATATATCATGTAAGAAGCACTAACGTTAGCCATCAAGGATCGCTTCTGATGCTATATAGATGTGACAATGTAACATGAACGATAAACACTATCGAAAATATTTGGGATTGCTATATTAATCCTTTTCTTCTGTAAGCCTAGTCGAGGGCCAAGAGTCACGACACAACAATCTTAAAACATATTATAAACGTTGAAGGAAATAATTACCATCTTCCATCCAGTAAACTTAAAAGGAAACCATTTAATGAATGAATAAATATGAATAAATAAAACTTGTCCTTTACCTTCAGTATGCTGAGTAGCAGCAGAATATGGCTTCAGCGCCCTAGCTTTATCCAAACATATCTCTGCATCTTTCCAATAAGAAAGGCTGGAGTACAAACTTGCAAGGCCTTGCCAGACTTCAAATTCTCTGAATTTGTCATCATCGACCTAACATAAGAGAAAATGTACATGTAGTAAGCAAATGCCCGCTTATCAAGATATTGGGTGATGGGACTTGCATGAGTCCAGAACATTCTATACTTAGCATCATTCACCTTCCTTAATAGCATGAATATTTCGATAGGAAACAGCAAAAATGACTTTATAAGCATGGCACCAATTCTTAATAGCTATTATTAACTCAACCAAAATTTTGAAGAAGCTTTCTCTAGCAAAGTACAATATTTGGATCAGGAAGTCTAGAGACAGAAAAGATAAGAAATGCTAGTTCTGTCAGGCACAAAGGAACCTTAAATGACTACCAAGATCCAACATAGTGACAGTAAGTAGGGAACTGCTGTAAATAACATACTAGGAAAGAAATGCTCCGATACTTTTGTTACAGCAACAAAATTAGAAACAATGGGAAAACAGAAGAAAAGAAAGAAAAGGAAACAAAAAGAAAGCAGTTGCAAGATACAAAGGATATTGGCGCAAAAGGGAAAGCAATATGGAAGTGTTTACATGAAATACTGACAATGAAAATGTAGGGTAAAAAGCAACTTAGAGTCACAAAAAACCCCATATTTTCAACATTGAACTCCACAGCTAGATTTGATTCAATGAAGAAATGAATTTGACTAAGAGTTCACAATATAGCACTGAATATTAATGGAAACAGCACTTTAGAAATAACTATAGGTAGTAGATCAACTTAATTTAACGGACAACAAACGCTGCAACATAAAGAAAATTGTTCGGAAAAGCTTCGGTGTACAAGGTCATTTCTTTCAGCTCTTTAATGTGTCTTTGGGTGTGAGAGAAGGGAACATTTCTGTGAACTTCCTAGTGGCTGGGACACAAAAGGCTTAAGATTTGCTTTTTTGGATCATGCTTCATATACATAATACCATTCTCTAGTTTACTACACAGGCGCAAGCAAAGTATAAGTGCAGCATTTCTATGAAAGATGATACGTGATAACGTGGTTGCAAGTGTTTGAGAATATAGATATACTAAAGCACGCACAAGAACACAAGCATGTAAGCACGCACAAGTATTTGAATTTGGATTCTCTTTGTACCCAGAAAAACGTAGAAAGTAAAAATAGACTTATTAGTGTGATAGGCTTTCCACCAAAAAGGAAAGAAAGGAATAGTAGATCATACTTTATGCATATCAATTAAATAAAGGTGCACAGAGCACCCGTTTGAATGTTTTTATACAAACATGCTGCTTTGGTGGTCATGTAATTTGTCCAATACAGTTGAAGCTTACGAATTTCAAAAGTGACATGTGACCTTCCCATAAAATTTTGGAAGAGGAAGGTATAATAAGAAGAAACTTTCTAATGAAGGGAGATAGGAAAGATCAATAATCGAACTGATAAAAGTAAAAAGGTGAGATTGGTACTTGTGTATGTGTGCGCGCGCTTGCGCGCGCATGTTTTAGAGTGAGGGTGTACCAGAAATTAATACGAATGACAAAGCCTTTATCCCAAATTTCAGAGATCGGCTACATGAATATGATTCTTATTTCTTCCATTCAGTTCTCTATTAAAAAGTCCTGCATCTCCTTCTTAATTGACTCCAACCAAGTTCTCTTGGGCTTACCTCTCGCACACTTTTACCCCCTTAATTATAATTTTATAACTTCTTCTAATTAGTAATATAGAAGTCATATTTTTCAGATGCATGGAATGAAATACTTTGACAGAGAATTCACAAGTAAATTATGCATGTTGTGATAAATTAACGGTAAGAAAAAAGAACATTGTTTGGCTTCCTAATAGATGCTCAAGATCACAACTCCTTGAATCCTCTCCACTTTGCTACCCTTTTCTACAATCTTTTTATCATAGAGCATTACAAATAAATAAAAAGAATTACAAAATAAAAAACATTCCTGTGGCATAACTAACCAAGTATCACAAGTCACAACATAGCTCCCCTCCTCTAAGGGAAAGGATTCCAACAGACATCATAAGATGATGACATACTTGATTATATCTTATCTGCTTATAACTTTATACTTAGTTTCTATCCTTTACAACTGCATTAACTATGACCCTAGCACTCTCCCAAAGCAAAAGATTCTTAAAACATATGTAAAAAAGCAAACCTGAGGAATACTCCTTTGAGATCCAAAGGTCTTTCTTCTGGCTTGGACAAGAGCAAGCAACAAACGATATGCCTCTACTGCATCCATTGGCGATGACTGGGCAACTTTTAGTTTTGCTTTTATTCTGAGCAATTCTCCCTGCTCCCACTTTGCAGTCTCATCTAAAGCTGCATCGATGACCACTTGGGCCTCTGAATACCGTTGCTGAGCTGACAACACTAAAGCAAGCAGTCTCCAACCTTTCGAAACTGATCCACCTGTCGCATCAATGAACTCTTTAGCACATCGTAGTGCAGCATTTGTATTGCGATTTTCAGCATATTCAAGGCCTAGGTCAAAAATTAGATCTGGATTGTGCCGATCAAGAGTGATTGCCTTGTCTAGCGATTTCAAAGCGTCAGCTTTGAGGCGAGATCTTTCCTGATCTGACGAAGCAGCTTTAGCTTGTTTTCCCAAGCAAAGACCTAAAAGATGGAGAGAGACACTCTTTAGATGCTCATCAGCTGCTTGACAATTTGACAAAGCCCTCCTGGCATACTCCACTCCCTCGGAGGCAAGAAAGCAATCTTCACTACAGATCTTAGCAGCGAGCAGCAATGCCATAATATCATCTGGACTTTCAAGTTTGCTTAGGGATTTCCTCAGCAGATTTAAGGCATCTATGTCCTGTCCAGCTCCACGGTAACAGAGAGCCAAACTGTTCCATCTATCATAACGAGGAAAAGTTCCAGGCAGGAGTTCTTCAAAGTGCCTTGCCAATGTAGAAGTCTGGCCACATAGAGACAATGCAAAGGTTAAATGCTCCATCACTGAAGGATCCCATTGGATCTTACCAAGCTGCCATTTCCTTAACAATATCATGAGAAGTAGGATAGCCTCTTCTAAGTTGTTCTTTGGAACAAAGGCACCATCAGTTTGTGCAGCGAGACTGGGGGAGCCAGCTTCAATGCCACCATGCAACAAAAGCACAGCAAACCTTTTCTGTATCCTTGCACAGCAGTCATTATCTAAATTCCAGTGACTGAGAAGAGCACGTCTGTATGAAGTTAGAGCTTCCTGAAACTTGCCAGCTTGTTTCCAGAGTTCTGGAAGGAATTCTACAGCCTTTGTAACTGTATCCTGTAGCTTACTGTCCGTAGTAGCATCTGGTATGCCATTTTGAAACATCTTCTCCACAGCATCAAGGACACTTTTACATTCTTGAGCGGCCTCTGAAACAACCGTAGCATCAGTTTTTAGTGACTAAAATTTCCTGGTAGCAAGAAAGAACTGATATGCTATATGGCCAGCAAAAAAATTAAACAACAATGTAGAAACAGTATCAAACATCACTAAAGAATATGCTATTAAGGTATAAGATGTAGAGACATTCACCAGTGATCTTGCCAAGTTTCTGAAGAGACACAGCCTTCAAATATATGGCTTCAAGAACAAGGCCAGCAGCATGTTGGGACTGGGAAATAGAAGTTAAAGATTCACTTCGTGACCGGCTCCTCCTTGAAGGAGGCGGCTTTTCAGGAGACGGTTGCAAACGTTGTATAGCAGCCTGGAGGTCTATCCCATCAAATACTCGAAGGGCAGCTTCCACATTACCTCTCTGGTACTCGAGCCTTCCAAGGAGGGCTCTCGCTTCCTGTTACAGTTAATGGAATAAATGTTAAAACAGATTGTAAGTTTCTGGACAGGCTGGCCTCTAAAAAATGAGATAGAGGATCCTTAAAGAAAATACATTGAATATTAAAAGTAAACTGGACAGGAACTGAGAAAAGGCAGATCTAAAACAAATAGAAACATACTATATAATCTTTCCACAACAAGTATCAAATCACAGTTGACACGTAATCAATAATGAAGGCTGTTCACAGATTGAGCATTTAGGCCTCGTTTGGTAGGCGGGAATGGGGTGGAATGGAATGGCATTCTCACTTCCCATTCCTTCATACCAAACAAACCAACTTTTTAGATGTTGGAATGACCATTCCCAGGGAATGATCATTCTCACTTTTTGTGGGAATGGGCATTCCAAATGAGAAGATAGGGAATGGTCATTCCCATTCAAGAGAGAATCAAATCAGTTATTTATTTTTTAATTATACCCCTATTAATCAACTGATTTCCACATTAGTAATTCTGACATCCTTTTCATATGCAATATGCATCAACTGTGGATATCATTCTTTATATTTTTTTGGACCTATGAATGATGCGATAATCTTTTATTTATTTTTCTTTAATTTTTTAAGACTAAGAAATAGTGAGTATTGTTTAAAAAATATAAATAGAACATACACTTGAGAGATAACATGCGCAATAGTATAACATGCACAGAAATTAGTATAACATATTCATAAATAAAATTATTTAGTTATTATCATTAATGTTTATTTTTATCTTATTAAAAATATATGTTGTTGTAAGGACATTATTAGAAAATGTGATTCCATTCTCACTTGTGGACAAGTGATACCAAACATGGGAATGGGAACGAGATTTTCATTCTAGCCTCATTCTACAAAAGTACCCAAACATGAAAATGGGAATGACCATTCCATTCCCACATACAATCCATTTCATTCCTTCTTCCATTCCATTCTCACTTATGTCCATTCCCGCGTACCAAACGAGGCGTTAGTGCCAGATATAAAGCATAAGCATTGTCGCTTATTTCACCTTTAAGAGCAATTTTTCAAAAATCAACTCCAATTGCAAATCATTTAGACCAGTATCAGCAGAACATCTTCCAAAATCACTAGCTATGTGAAATTTCTAGCACTTTCATAGTGTGTGCAGACATAATTTGTATTTACATTTTTACAGAAAAGCAATAACTCCCAGAGCTCATATTAATTGAAATATTCCGTCTCTCTAGATAACCTTTTGTTCTTTTTGTTAAGAAAACCTGTTGTAGAAATAAAGCTCACAACATACTAACTTCCTTAATAAGATTATTCGAATCACAATTACAGCTTTTTGAAAGAATTCGAAGCAGAATTACAGCTTTTTGAAAGCTTTGGTCGTCCATATATCCTAAATACAAAGTACTAACAACTTATGTCGTAAGATGGAAAAGGTATCAGCTAAGATGCCAGCTCATTGGGTTAAACACTCACTCTTGATGAACTTTCCATCTCATTGACCAACTGCGACTCACAATTCAAATTTCACATAAGTGGTACTGTAAACCCTCAACCAGATAAGGACCATGAAAATTTGATCTTGTTTTTCTTTTCTTTTTTTAAACCTTTTCCCTATTTGTCATCAGGGCCTTCTATGCTTAATTTACGTTTCTGTCGGGTTGGAGGTAATATGTTGGACTGATGGAAATCTTTGAGGATATCCATACCTCAACGAGAGTAAATAAACTTGTAGCACCTAATTCTATTCATCATAAGGGATTAGATGTCAGTATTAGACACTGGGGGAAATTGGTATGGGTTCTATTCTTATAATTCCTTTTATCCCCTCTATATGAAGAATCGATATGCTTGAATAAATAGAATTCTATAGAGAAAATGCCAAAGATCTCGAAATTGTCTTTAATTGGTAAATTAAATTCCTAATTAACTTAACATCTAGCGAGTTCTAGGTCTATAATGGTAGATGGCTCATAATTTGTAGGCAGTCTAAACTAGGCAAAAAAATAAAATACAATTCATATGCCTCCTATCTATTAGATTTTTTTAGATCTAAAGTAAGGAAAGCTGAGTGTAGGTGCCATCCTGCCAACTTCTATTTTTTACGTTTCCAACAATGGGACACCCCTATCAGTATCAGGGACCAGCCCACACTTGTATATCCAAATAACGTTCTTAACACGTGAACTATAAAACTTAAGTGAAACCCTCATCAATGAAGTTGCATGGTACTGCAAGAATTTGGAAACTAACGAACTTGACCGTTACAAATCTATTAATGGAAGGAGTATTTTTTATTATATTTAAGTAGAAGAAATAGAAGTGGTTGATACTTTCACATGCAGGCCACCAATTGCTTTCAAAAAATATTTGCAAGATTCAAATTGATTATTCTTTGTTTCTTGAGCTTCTTTTTCTTCCTGACCTCATCAACAGAAGGAAATGCTCATTGGTCAGGTTGATCTTCAACTACTGCTTACGGGCTACTTAGAGAGGGTTCCTATTTATAGATAGATATTTTAGCGAATAAGTTAAAAGTCATTACTCTCTATTATACTTGTCTAGCTACAAACTTAACTTTTTCTGTAACACTTGGTTTGTGGATAACTAAACTCGTGAAATGGACAAACTGATGTAAAGCCGCATACACTTGGGAATAGGACCTGGTGAGGTGTTTGTGACATCACTGACATGAAGATCCATATGACCTTTGTAACATTTGCACTGAATGGTTTATCAACCATTATATTTATACCTCAATAGCTTAGCTAATCCCATCTAAATATTCATTGCTGAGACTCTGATTTGTAGTTTACATCATCATAATTAAAACAATTTGGGCATTTATCACACTGCTGAAAAGAATAAACACATACTAGCAGTATACATGCATTGCAATCTTGGAGAGGTTCTGGAGCATCTCCTTCACTTTGTGACATTAAAATTAAGGACAAACAAAAAAAACTAAAATGAAGGTCTATCTAATACCCAAACCTTCAAAATCAACTCCCAATCCACTCGTAGAAAAATTATATTACAAAGAACAAAAGGAAGAGGAGCAATTAGTGTTCTAGATCTAGGCTATGTTGCAAGATTTTCTCTTTTTGCTTGCATTTAACAAGAAACTTTGCCAACAACCCACCAAGGTAAACCTGGCACCAAATTGATAGCAAACTGTAAAGGGATTTGATCAATTCTTCCGTCAAGCCTTCTAAAATAAATTGCACCACATGGAAGACCTCTTTTGATGGAGAAAGATTCTTGTAATGATTTGCTTTGTATAGATTTTAGAAAACTTGTCGTAGAGGGATTTGGCTAATCCTGTCTCAGAACCTTGTAATCTGAATATACCACAAAAAACCTCAGTTTATTGGACAAATATTTCTTGTAACAGTCGGATGATTTCCTTATATGAAATTTAGAGAGTAGCTATGAATTTTAGAAATAATGGAGATACCATATGTATGTTATTCCCACGCTCGAAGCTTGAATCCTCATTATACTAACAGTGGGATCATTCAGAAACCACTATATTTAACTCTCTACATAAAAGAACACCAATATAGCCACTTGCACGGCCCTTATTTCTGTCATAATGACACAGTTAAACTTCACAAGGTTAAAAAAAGGTAAAAAGAAAGGACCTTTAAGGCGTAATGCACAATTGGAGAAAGAAAGACTGTATTGAATATAAATCATTTATAAAATCTTGAGAACACAAGCGCTCAAAATAAGAACCACATAACGTTGAATGTGGAAAGTGAAATTTCACTAACATAAACAAGCATCAGATAACAACAACTTAGGCTTTCACCTTTCCTCCTCTCCATTATGTAAATCATCACATCGTGGTAATTTGCCTGTGAAGACATAATTTTTACCAGGAAGGACCATAGAGACAGAAGTATTTAATGTTCCAGTGAAGTAGAAGAATAATTCGGCAAAGGAAAACGTAATTTCACTGAAATCTAAAGCTGCAAAAAGTAATAATTTGCTGCAGAGCATGTAAATCGGTGCTAAATTAGGCAATAATGGGTGAAAAGGACAGACTCTTTAGTTCTACTTCTTCTCATCGCATCCTACAATTGTGAAGAAACTAGCACTTTTGTTGACTCCTGGCTCTTCGGAAATGTTCAAAGATATGATTGACTCTTCTACTTCTCTTCAAGTCTTCGAGTGCAATGGGGTAAAGGAGTTTTTTTTTTTTTTTTTTTTTTTTTTTGTTGTGAAGTCAAATGCTCTAAAAATTCAATGTATACATAAGACTCGCTATGGCTCTCGTTGCATGCCGGTCCTATTGTCGTAGTCGAAATGTACGTGTGAATGTGGGGGCCCACCCACCACCACGTGAATGAACGCGTGAAAGGTGAATGAACGTGTGAAAGGCTAAGGCGGTTTCGTTTCCGCTGCGTGGAGGCCCACCCGAGATCGTTCGTGGTTATAAATGCAGACCGCACGAATTGCCTAGGTGGGGTAAAGGAGTTTTTTTTTTTTTTTTTTTTTTTTTTGACTTCACAATAGGTGAGAGTTGATACTCAAAAGATCGGTAACGACGATATTCTAGATGGCGAATGAGTACCACTAAGTGTATACTGCGGAGGATCCACTAATGCCACCTAAGAAAGTCCCAAAGTTTATCTTAATTCTAGACTAATCTTAGTTGTATGGGTTATTAAAAGTTTGTGTTGCCAGAAAAGAATCAAGTTCATTGATTTGTTAGCTCTTATTATTAGATGATGGTTGCTACTATAATTCAGATTTGTTAAATTTTTGTTATCAAATGACTTATTCAGGTAATTTTGATTTGATTTGGTTTAATTATTGCATTCTGGTTGTAAATAAGAGTGTGTGAGAACTTCAGAGTTAGAGATGATGTGTAAAAGTTGACTTTTTTTACTTGAAAATTTAATTTTTTTTTCTTTCTTTGTGAGTACGATTTATTTCATATTTCTACTCGAACATGTTCACCATCGATGAACAATAACAATCCATGAATGAGACAGCAGAGATGTCATTTAACCTACTACTGAAAAGGGATATCAAACATGACAATGCTCATGAGCACACACTCATGAACATGATTGAACATGAACGGATCATATGTACATTAATGAACATCTAAACTACATCCATGCATAGAATAAGCTTTAAAACTAAATAATGTAAGCAAGATGTTTCCCATCCCTAGGTAGCATAATGCATGAAATCTTTTATGGATAATATTTATGTAAGACAAGTGAAAAGTGGACAGAATTGGAAGTTCCAACACAAGTGTCTCATGAGTGAATACGCATGCATGTCCATGCTACGGGGATGGACATACCAAGCTTTAGTGCGAGGAAGTTAACGAAACATCTACTCTTTAAGATGGGGATATGATGTGACAGTATCTAGTAAATCTTCCTTCACATTTCCTAAATTGCTAATCCATGCTCATATTGACTATCCGCTCACAACTTAATGAATCCGCATGCATCTCCAGCTGACCAACAGAATTTAAAATGTAACTATTAAAGATAGAAAAGATAGATCGCGTATCCTCGTAAATTATAACATGTGAATGAAAAAAAGATTATGATTATTGATAGCAAATTAAGCAAGCAGTAAACATCTGTATATATGCGTAATTAGCTCGCCAAGCAAAGAAAATATATATTCCCCTAGCTTCCTAACCGCTGATCAATCTCTAACTCAACATACTTATTCTCACAAGCCACATTCGATCTACAACCAAAATCTGCCCAATAAATAAGCCCCAATTAGGTCAATGGCGCAAGAATCCATTCACATTGAATCCTGTATTTCCGAGCTTAGTTAGCTCCTCAAGCCACATTCATTGAAAACCCCCTGTAGTAATAAGCTACAAATTTGAGGTTTCCAACCTCCCACTGCGGCGAAAACGTTCGCGATTTCATCAAGAATCTAGAAACAATCGAGGGAATCGAGAGAAGAGTAGCAGACCTCGAAATTGAGGGCGAGGCCCTCTCGAAGCGAGGACTCGGCCTCTTGGATGTCGCCCTCATCGAGCTTGGCCTCGACCTCGGAGGCCTTCATCGAGAGCCCGTTGATCGAGAGGACCTTCTCGCCGACGGCAGCATCCGCTTCGATCCCCATTGCTTCCTCCTCCTGCGATCATCCGATCTTCGAGAGGATCGATCTGTGGCGGAGTCTTTCCTTCTTTTTTTAAGCTGGGGTTCGATCGAGGGGGGGTGACGGGACTCGAGGAGGGTGGTGACCGGAACGCGCGAGATCCGTGGGTCGTGGAGGGAGAGAAATTAATGCTTGGCAACGGGTCGGATCCTTCAACGCATGTGGTGTTGATTCAACGAATTTAATCGTCGAATTTAATCGTGGGTCCCCGTTGAGTCAGTGACTGTCAGTCGTATGAATTACGATTTACGAGAGATACGCCCGTTGAGAATTATTTCGTGGGGTTAAAAATTATTAAAATACGTCAATTATGTTGAAATCTAAGTGACATTTTGTGAAAATCTAAAAGACAAAATGTATGTGGACATTACTTTGTATGTGGACTATTAATTTCATGTCCTTTTGTATTCCATCATGTATCTATAAATTGTACGATGTATGGAAATGGATGAATATGAATAAGAGATTACAATTTCTCTTCTTCTCTTGTCTCTTGTCTCTTGTTTCATTTCTTTAGTATATTACAACACGTTATCAGCACGAGTGGCTCTAGCCTGTTCGTGATTATCGGTTCGTAGTAATAGATTTTTTAGGTGTACATCTTCTGCAAGGTAATAATACATTCGGCCTTTGTTTATTTACATAGTATATATCAAGCCTTCCGTCGAATAATTATGATTATGTCCAGTATGATATGCAATTCTTTGGTTTAATATGTCATTAAATCATTTTGTGCTTACTTGAGGTAACTAACTGGTTGTATAACTGCAAATGTTTTTTTAGTATGAGTTATGATATTGTATCTTTAGTATGATTTCAAGTTGATGTACGTTTTGGGTTAATTTAACCTAAGATATATTTTCCGTATGCATCACTAGTTTTATCAGTGAAGTAGACATGTAATCTATTTTTTAAAGAAAATAGATTTACCAGCTATGTATTCCTCGTTGGGCATTCTCATAACTGGTCTTGTAGAAGGAAATGCATACAGATTGTATGTTAATTGATTCGAATTATGTTCTATCCTATATGTTAATGTTAGTAAGGTGATCTGTACTTGATGCAGAAGTCATTCTATTAAATTCCCTTCTTACGTGATCTATATTTTTTTTTATAGTTCCCCAAATATGTACTTGTCTGCAGGCTTCTTTCTATGTATGTCACCTAGATCTGTTGATTGATTACACTTTATTTAGAACTTAGAATATATTTATCTGATTTTATCTGGAAACAGTTATACACTACTTTTTAGAATTCACTTATAGCATGAGCTATATTTTAGGATGGCCTGGTTAATTTATTATATTTTAGGATGAGCTATATTTTAGGCTTCTTACTATTGTATTCCCATATGCTGCTTAGCCTGATGTTTCCTCCAATATTCAAGTATAATTGGTTATCCTCCATGATATTTACATTTGACCTTGTTTTTATGTATGAAATCAAACTCATATGAAAGATCTAATCACGGTCTCCTATAATCAATGAATGCATGACTTTGTATATAAACACACAGGTTTAAGTAATATGCAAAGAACACTAAAGGTACGCAATATGCGTTAAAAAATCACTAATCTGTGCATCGTATGGGCTAAATCGTAGTTGTTATTAAACTAGGGCATTTTTGGTATTAGGTCTACCCAATTATGGATGTTGAATACAGTAACTTGTAACTTGATATTGTTAATTATGCCTCAAATTTTTTTATCATTTTATACCACTATGGTTATTAAGTATATCAATTATCATAAGGAAGTTCTGTCACACTTGCCCTCAGCATTCAAGCCACAATGTAAATCTCCGTGTAAAATAATTTCCTACAGTTGTTGAAGAAATAGAAGATAGGTTTGATTTCTTCACACAGCAGAAACACGTTAATGCTAGTTTCTCATTTACAATGATGTTAAGGTATAATGGAGAACAGGTGCTTGGTAATTAGCAACAAAAGAATGTGCTCATGATCAAACTGCATGGAACAAGCCTATAATTTTCTAGATGGCAGAGCTCTTCTTTCATTACAGTTCCCCCATTTTTTTTTTGACTATCTGGATAAGAACATGCTGCAGACATAAGCACATAAAGTGCATATAAACTATTTACTATATGTTGATTTTATGCAGTCTGGTTTAATACAATTTACAAATGCACACCTTCTGTTGATTGATCACTTGTCCTAGCTAATTAGAACAGAGGCATGCACTGTGGCTCCTTTATTTATTCACTTCTGTTTGTATGCACATCTTGTATAGTGTAATATTTTATAAATTTGGTGGATTGATATATCTTCTTTTGATAATTATAGCATTTCTGAAAAATGTCTGACATATCCAAAAGGGCATTTGCTGAGCTTGCCGTTGATGGCAGCAACTACTTGACTTGGGCCTTGGATGTTGAAATCTACCTAGATTCTTGTGATTTAAGCAGCACTATTGATCCAGCTTCTCAGAGCACCTCTGCCCAGAAGGCAAAGGCATTGATTTGTCTTCGTCATCATCTCAACAAAGACCTGAAAAATGAGCACCTTACTGAAAAAGATCCTGCTATTCTCTGGCAATCCCTGAAGGATCGCTTTGACCAACAGACGACTATTATGCTTCCGCAAGCACGGTATGATTGGTTGAACTTGCGATTTCAGGATTTTAAATCTGTAACTGAATACAATTCAACTCTCCACTGCATTGTCTCACAGCTGAAGCTCTGTAAGCAGAACATTACAGAGGATGAATTGATTGAAAAGACCCTCTCTACATTCCATGCAAGTAATCTTATACTCCAGCAGCAGTACAGGACCAAAAACTATTCAAAACACTCTGAATTGATCTCTGCGTTACTAGTTGCAGAGAAACACAACCAACTTCTGATGCGCAACCATAATTCTAGACCAGTTGGTTCGCAAGCTGTGCCTGAAGCACATGCCACAAATCAGAGTAATACTCATGGACGTGGACATGGTAGAGGTCGTGGACGTGGTCGCGGGTCTTATCGTGGTGGTAGAGGTCGTGGTCGTCGCAATGCTTATGGTCTTCAGGACCGTGGTAAGGGTCAGAACAAGGATAGATCTCCTTCAAACAAGCCTAACTCTCATCAACAGGTTGCTAATAACAAGCAAGCTTGCTATCGGTGTGGATGTGAGGACCACTGGTCTCGCACATGTCGTACACCGAAACATTTGGTTGAGGCCTATCAGAGAATGATGAAGGACTCAAAGGGGAAGTCAAAACATGGTGAAAAACATCATGCCAGTTTGCCTGAAGCAAACATGGCCCTAAAAAGATGACAATTATGATGATAACCTGAATCTGGACGATGATGACTTATTGAAGATGGAGCTTGATGATTTTGGTGACCAGGAGTGATCATGTTATTTATCACTATCTATGCATGTTTTATTAGTCTATTTCATTTTTCAGACATGTTCTAGTTACTTTTGTTAAGATAATTTGGAATTTTTCGAGACTTATTTTGCATGTTTTTGTAAGACAATTTCAAGTTTGTATGGGTTTTGTTTAAATGATTATTCCCCTTTATCTAATACGTGGTTGTGGAGAAGTTTCCATCTTTCTCCTCAGGGTTGTACTATACATATATCCGACCTAAAATACACCATGTTGCGATGAATTTAAGATTTAGGGACCCAAATTCTTTTAAACTCTGGCATGAGCGATTGGGTCATCTTGGGCAAAATATGATCCGTCGGATTTTCTTAAATTAAATGGGGCATTCAAACCAAATCCGACCAACTGCATATCACAATTTTCCCCCTTTATTTAATACGTGGTGTAGAAGCAAAACATTTCTCATCTGCGTATTATTTATTTGCAGTCCATGTTTTTATATCACCACCATAGCGTACCTCTATGGGACCTCGGTGAAGGTACATACATTATTTATGAAACTCCGTCAATAATTTAGTACCTATGGCCCATGTTAGGGGATCAATTTACAATTTAGTACGCTGACTGCATTATTATTGAAGATCAATTCTCGACATTAGGGGGAGATTTATATATAGAAAGACAGTCACTCCCATAACCTCCAGAAGAGGTTCATCCTGAAGATGGAATCTCCAGTAAATTGCACGTGCACTTGATAATCACAATACTGGAGATGCGGAACGGCCAAATCCAATTGTTAAGGGAAATGACAAGGATTTGGTTAACATAAAATAAGAATTAAAGTGGCCACGAATTTGTGAAAAAGGAGAAATATATAATATAAATATAAAAGTTGTCGACAACATAATTGCCTCTATAGTTGCTCTTACTATCTCCGAAAATAATCCGGATCTAGAACCTAAGTCGGTAGTAGAGTGCTTGAAGCACTCGGACTAGGTGAGATGGAAAGTAGCAATTGAGGCTGAGCTGAACTCGCTAAAGTATTTTGAACCTGTAGTTCATATATCCCTGCAGGATATATATATATATATGGGTCTTCGTAAGAAAAATAAATAAGAATTATAAGGTGGTGAGATATAAAGCGAGATTCATAGCTCAATGGGTTCACGCAGAGACCCGACATCGATTTAGATGTAAAATATTCTCCTATTAGTGATTATATTACGTTCCGCAAGTTAATACATATGGCAGATATATGCAGTATATGTACGTCATGACTACATTTTTATATGAGTCATTAGACGCTAATATTTTTATATGAAAGTCCCTGATGGACTTAAAATTCTTGAATTAAGAGAAAACAAGAATCGTAACATGTATAACATTAAATTATAAAGGTCGTTATACGACTGAATATAACCAACTGAGTAAGTTCCTCCTGAAGAGGAGATATGCAAGTAATGATGTCTGCCCTTGTGTATTTATAAAGAAATTCGAAAATGACTTCTGTATTATATCAGTCTATATTGATGATATAAATATTATTGGAACGCACAAGGAGCTTACAGAAGCTAGCTCATGCCTAAAGACGGAGTTTGAAATAAAAAACTTGGGAAAAACCAAGTTTTGTCTCGGCCTGCAGATCGAGCATTTTCCCAGAAGGAATTTTTCTACACCAGTCAACCTACGTGAAAAAGGTTTTTAGAAAGATTTTTCACTAAGCACATCAATGGTTGTCCGGTCCCTCGAAGTGGATAAAGACTCATTTAAACCCAAAGAAGATAATAAAGAAATGTTAGGGCCAGAAGTTCCCTATCTGAGCACCATTGGAGCACTTCTTTATCTCGCAAATTGCACCAAGCCTGATATTGCATTTGCAGTGAACTTGCTAGCAAGGTATAGTGCTTATCCTATAAGGAAGCAATGAAATGGTGTTAAACATTTCCTTCGCTATCTTCAAGGTACAAAAGATATTGGACTATTCTATAAAAGAAACCAAGATATGACATTGGTGGGCTATTAGGATACTGGCTACATATCTGATCCCCATAATGCCAGATCCTAGACTGGTTATGTTTTTCTCTGTGGTGGTACTGTCATTTCTTAGATGTCTGTTAAGCAGACTATGGTGACTACTTCTTATAACCACTCAGAGATTATCGCTTTATATGAGGCCTCACGAGAATGACGATATGTTGTGGCTCGTGTGGTCTAGTGAAAGATGATATTCCCCCCAATGTCCTTTATGAGGACAATGCAGCTTGTGTTGCACAAATGAGCAGTGGATATGTAAAAGGAACCATGACAAAACATATTACGCCAAAATCCTTTTAACCACATGAGCTCCAAAAGAATGGCGAAATCACCATCGAAAAAGTTCGCTCAAGTGACAATCTTGCAGATTTGTTCACTAAATCTATGCCTACATTAACTTATGAGAAATATGTTCACAATATGCATAGATTTGAAAGACTATCTTCTTCAGGGAGAGCAAATTCTTAAAGAACAATCCTGAAGATTGGGCCCTGAAGGTCTATTATCATAATTTGCCCCTTTTCGCTAAGTTTTGTCCCACTGGGTTTTTCTTAGCATAGACTCAGAAGATTGTCATCATCAGGGGGAGTGAATTTTCAACACAATCCTGAAGATTGTACCTTGAAGGACTATAGTTGTACTCTTTTTTCCTTTTGCTAAGTTTTGTCCCACAAGGTTTTCTTAGCTAAAGGTTTTTAATGAGGCAACTAATGCAACACAAGTTTGGATCCCGAAGATCTATAGTTGTACTTTTTTTCCCTTTGCTAAGTTTTGTCCCACGGGGTTTTCTTAGTTAAAGGTTTTTAATGAGGCAACTAATGCAACAAGAATCTACTAATGTCGTGTACTCTTTTCCTCGACTAGTTTTTATCCCACTGGGTTTTTCTAGCGATGTTTTTAACGAGGCATTGACATTTCGAAGTAATATCCAAGGGGGAGTGTTGAAATCTAAGTGACATTTTGTGGAAATCTAAAAGACAAAATGTATGTGGACATTACTTTGTATGTGGACTATTAATTTCATGTTCTTTTGTATTCCATCATGTATCTATAAATTGTACGATGTATGGAAATGGATGAATATGAATAAGAGATTACAATTTCTCTTCTTCTCTTGTCTCTTGTCTCTTGTTTCATTTCTTTAGTATATTACAACAAATTACGTTTTTTTATTTTATTATAAACAATTATGTTTTTTAATTTGTGGCTTCTTTTTGAATGCTATAATATGAACAACAACCTTATTGCAGCTACGACAAAGTCTAAACTTTATTTTGGGTAAAGAATACAGAAATAGATGATCCAACGAGAATTCCACTAATTGTAAAGCACTCATTTTCGTATTTTCTTTATTTGGCTCTTCTAATGAAGTCAGACGAAAAATGTAGGGTTGAATTTTATTTTGAAGAAGTTTAAAACTGAAATGATGAAGCAAAATTCGAGAAATAAGCGTTGTGTGGTCGTCCTCCGTTGTAGTATCACAGGTGAGCGGTTGATTTCCAGAGGCTGTTTGGTTTGTTTCCTTGATATAGAGAAATGCAATTCCATGTAAAGAAACACAAGTTTTGAGTTTTCTAAACTTTTCCAAGAAATAGATTGTTTTGCTTTAGTTCGCACATAAAAAATGGTGGGAAACCAATGTATTTTTTTTATTGTGTTTGGTTCGCATAGAAAAAAAGGAAAACTTTTGTAAACAAAGCAGAGAAAGAAAAAAATCTGACGTGACAGAGTTTTCATCAATTTTACTTGGTTGGGGAAGGAAATCGGAGAGGGAAAAAAATCTTAGTTGGCGGCGATTTCAGCAGAGTTTTCCCTCTTCCATTCGAGCGAATCAAAGCGACACAAAAAAATGGACGGAAACAAAAAAGCTGACGTGGAGAGGTTTTCTGAGTTTTCCACCCCTTATAATAGCGAACAAAACAGCCCCTCAATGTAATACCTCGCTTTGAAATATTATAACAGCTAACCAAATAATAAAAATAAATAAGTCGCATGTGTATTTTGGATATTAAGGGTTTTGATACTAGCAACTAATTCAAAGTGCCGAATACAAGGCAAATTAGGGTGAGAATAGTAGATTATTGAGAAATCAAATTGAATATACCCTTCGATTTTGTAAAGATCTCTGCATAAAGAAGCCTAGTAAGATGTCACTTAGAGTTCGCCCCATGTTTTTTTTATGTTGGTATAAAAACAGTTTCGAATTTATAGTCTAGTTACCATCACTCCATTAGATAATTAGAGTTGTCGTAACTGCACTATAATCTTCTAGAAATAAAAGTATAGGGTCATCGATAAATCATGAAGTTTGAAAGTAAATCAAGAGGAAGGGACTCGTATATTTATTTCTAGCAATGCAGAAATTGTCTGGTTAGTCATACATGAGTAAGGATTTTATCCCCTCGTAACAATGAGGGATCTAGGTCATTCGCTGCACTGTAACTAGAGGGTTAGTTTAGGATTTACAACATCATTTATTTATGATGCAGATCACATCACTCATGTATGTATATTTCTGATAAGATCCCTAATTATCATATATAATTAGATAAAAGTAAATCTACCGTTCAACAAACACATAGTTAAATAGTCAAATTTAAAAACAACATATTACTCACCTTGAAAAAAAACAAGTATGTGAAAACTTGTAGGTAGGAAAAATAACTTTTTCTTGTATTTAATAAATAATGAAATTATTTAGATTAATTTGCTATTTACTTTGTATGACTATGTTTTTTTCCTATGTTAAGTTGTACAATTATGACTTATCCAAACTTCTAATTCAGGGATTAGATGCTGGGTCCCACATATCCTAACCTCTTCACTGTCAATTTTACCCTCCCAAGCGTTGACATTTTACCAACTCCCTTACGATAACAAGCAAATCACATCAAGGTCAGTTTGGGTAATTTACTTCAGCTATTAAAAAGTTACCTCTCAACTCTTTCCATTCTCTCTCCTCTCTCTGTACTTGCCCCTTCGAGCCTGTGTTTTTTTCCCTTTTATTTTCTGCTAAATATATTTCATTTTTTTTCTAGGGTTAGGGTTTTGGGAGCGAATCTGCACCAAAATTGGAAGCAAATGGTGCAGAAATTCGCTATGAGATCGGAGAGCTCCCACCTTTACCCTATTCCCCTCTCTCAATTGCCCGATTCGTGCTTGCCATGAACTAGGGTTTGTGCTTTCCCTCTCTGGTAAAATTCCTTTTCTCTTTCTCCTCGAAATTCTCTATTTTTATTGAATTTATATTTGTATTTTGTGTTTCTTAGGGGTATTAATTGATTCTAGGATGAACGTTATAATTTGGGATCTTTGTGCTTGGGCATGAATTTTGTTTTATGTGATTTGGATTTTGCAGGAAAATTATGCTTTTATTCGTCATGGCTTATTTGTTGTTGGTTTTGTTTTTTGTGTGAAGAGAATATTCTTGCCTTAATTTTTTAGAAATTGGCTGACTTTTTCATGCAAAAGTTTGTGCTTTGAGTTTGTGGAAAGACTAGATCTTTTAAAGTTGGGCCATCTTGTGTTATTTAGGCATAAGTTGTTATGCGTGTTTATTGTGTGAATTTGTGAAGTAGCTGTTAAAAGTAAATAAAGCAAAAGCTAATTTTATCATGACATTCTCATACTACATGGTAAATGTAGAAGGCATTTTTTTAATGGACTGTACCATTGTACTACATTTTTTTTCTAACCAATCGGATATCAGTTAGACTGATTCCTTCACTTGCCTGTCTATAAGATCATTTCCTTTATATGCAAAGTGAGTTTTTGTGTTCATAACCAGTCGTTGCAATCATATACAAGCTTCTTTTGTTACCTTGGACAACCTTACTGTGAAGCTGATGTTTGCAGCATATCTTACTGTTAAATTCTTGATAGTTGATCCAATTTTTGTTATAGGTTCTCCCTCTTATACAGGGTAGTTAGAAGTTTGCTTGCCTTAGCTCTTGTGATATTCTTTTGACTAGCATTATTGGTTGACTAATATTTTGTGAAGTATTCGGTTGATATATAATTTTTTTTCTTTTTTTTGTTGGGACAGGGATAGTAGTGCTAGTATGGAGATGTATAATGGTTCGGATAATGGACCTACAGAAACTTACATGGTATGCGTTTGTATTTATCATGAGTTTAAATACATGTCCCAATGTAACTTAGTAGGCAGCAAGATTTAGTGGTGCCCCCCCCCCCAAAAAAAAAATAAAAATAAATAAATAAATAAATAAAAAGAAGAAGAAAAAAGGAAAAAGAAAAAGGTTATGGAGGGAATTAATTATGTGAATTTTGCATATTGGACTGGATGCTGGTATATGCTTTAAGGTGTGAAACCTTATGAAACTCAAGGAACTCGAATTCTCCTTATTGAAAGTATTCATGTGTACATTTTACTTCTTGAAACTTATATTGGTTTTCCGTTGTTTGCTTTCCAGATGCCTGGCACTGTTCCGAACCCCCAACTAACATTATTTCAACCTTTGGAAGGGGTTGATTATATCACTAATGAAGTTGCTCCTGAGGTTACTTATGAACAAGGACTATACTACCCTGCTACCAACTATTATGGGTACTATAGTACAGGTAAAGCCTTCAAAACATATCATAATGGGTTGTAGTACCTAATTTGAAGATTAAATATTTTTGAGTCATCAATTATATTGGTGGGTGAACAGGTCTTGAGCCGCAACGTGAATGGGTTGACCAGCAGAGATTTTTTGGTTTAGATGGTCAAGAGCTTCATTATGCAGTGAGTTATATAATCAAATTTCCTGTTTGATTGTAGAATGGTGATACCTTCTGTTAGAACCAAATATATATATATATTTTTAAATAACTTGGATTCTCTGTGTTTCTGCTGCAGGTTCTGCAAACTGAAAGCTCTCCATATGTATATTATTCACCTAGCTATGGATATGCACAGCCATCTTATAATCCTTACAATCCTTACTCACCTTGTGCTGCCATTGGTCTTGATGGATCAAATATAGGAACACAACCACAACCATATTTCTCTGATCCTTCATATCAGCTACCAATCTCATCACCTGCTGCTTACATTCCGGTAATCCTCCAGCCTCATTCAGATGCTGCCCCAAATATCTCTATGACCCCTACAGTTTTGGGCTCTATTTCATCGAGTAGACAAGTCACTGCCAATTCAAAGTCAAAATCATGTGCATCTTCAAATGGGGGAGCCACTTCTCAAGGCACTGCTTCGAGGATCCTAAAATCTGAGTTGTCGGGATCTTCAACACCGGGACAGGTACTATATCCTATGTGACATGTCATTATCAGTAATATTGTCTTTCCCCTTTCTTCCACCCAAATTTATGCATATGCATATATTATTATCTTCTACGATTTGTGTTTCTTAAATAATTTATTAGCTGACGAGTTTTATTATGTTTTTTGCTTGCATTGTTCAGTTTCCTTTTAACCTTGCCATCCTTCTTCCCTCTTGTTTTTATGAAGCATTAATCCTGAAGTAGTGGCTTACGTTTGGCAATTCATACATTGATATATTTGCATGGGTTGATTGTTTTTTTTTACTTGAGTGTGGTTACAGGGAAGGACTCCTGGTTTGACACAAGTGACAGATTCCCATGGTAGTGTTTCATCGGTTCAAAATCCATCAAAAGTCCCATCGGTCAACTTCCCCCAAAACTTTGGATCCACTGTTCATGGCTGGACAACAGTTGACAGGTTAAGGCCAAGGTTCCAATTTAATGCAGCAGTGAAGAATGGGAGTGGAAACTCAGACTTTCTGGGTGAGCAAAATAGAGGGCCTCGAACAAACAGATTAAAAGGCCAACCAGCATCTGCAAGTACTATTGGACTTTCAATAAGCAAAGCTGGCGGTAATAATGCTCAGGAAGCCATTATTATTAGAGCCGATCAATACAATAAGGATGACTTCCCTCTTGACCATCCAGATGCCAAGTTTTTCGTTATAAAATCGTACAGTGAGGATGATGTGCATAAAAGTATCAAATATAATGTGTGGTCAAGCACCCCTAACGGCAACAAGAGGTTAAACAGTGCATATGAGGATGCACAAAGAATATCTACCGGAAAAGTCAAGAACTGCCCCATTTTTCTGTTCTTTTCTGTAAGTGATCATACTTCTTTAATTAAAGGCCACCATCAAGACATCTTATGTAAAAAGTGATGTAAAAATTCTTAACTTAGTAGAGGCCGGTAATATGCAGGTTAACGCAAGTGGGCAATTCTGTGGTGTTGCTGAAATGACTGGCCCTGTTGATTTTGACAATGATATGGATTTCTGGCAGCAAGACAAATGGACTGGTAGCTTTCCTGTTAAATGGCACATAATAAAGGATGCTCCAAACACTAGCTTTCGGCAGATCCTATTAGAGAATAATGAAAATAAACCTGTAACTAATAGCAGAGACACCCAAGAGGTAAATCATCCCCTATTGCCAACTTTTGACTGCTTTCTTTTACTTAATTTTGATATTGCTATCATCAAAGAAGTGCATGTTCAAGGAAATCATAATGAGTTAAATGTTCTCCTAAAGTACTGCAGTTCAGGATATTGCTGCCATATATTTTGTGTGATATTTCTCATTTCTCCAAAAATGATTGTATGTTCCAATCATATGCTTAGTAGATATTTAAACTTATATTTCTGGATAAAACTGGTTGGTGGAATCTTTATAGCATATTCCAACTATTACTTTAATTTTATATATAGCATAAATTTGTTATAGCCTTCGTGATTATTTCAGTATTCCTGTCTTTTCATTTGAATCGTTTTGAATGTTTGATGAATTGCATTCTTTATCGGCCAGATCTTGTTCATTGTTGCTTAAATTTCTTTCTATGAATACAGATAATGTATGCACCGGGCATGAGTATGCTAAACATCTTCAAGGATAGCCCCCTGAGCACATCGATCCTTGATGATTTTATGTCCGGGCATGAGTATGCTAAACATCTTCAAGGATAGCCCCCTGAGCACATCGATCCTTGATGATTTTATGTTTTATGAAGAGCGGCAGAAGATTATGCAGGGATAGCCCCCTGAGCACATCGATCCTTGATGATTTTATGTTTTATGAAGAGCGGCAGAAGATTATGCAGGAAGAGAAGTCTAGATTTACAGGAAGAAGCTACAAAACTTACATTCCTGCAATTGTTTCTGCCGAGAAGTCCAGTGATTCAGCTGGGCAGAGTGGTTCCTCTGATCAGATTGCAAAAGGGGACGGAGGTCAAGCGAGTGTAACATCTGGTCAACCTCTGAATGCTGATGTCGAGCTAACCGAGTTTAAACATAATAAGAGTTCAGGTAGTGATGGCCCAATTGAACTTGATGCCCTTGAGTCATTAAATGCTGTGAAAGATCTTAATCCTGATAAAAAGGAGGATGCCAACTATTTGAGTTCTGTTATGAAAATGAAGTCACTACCGCTCTGTGGTAAAGAAGATGAAACAGAGGCCATTATGAAAGAAAAAAGTACTCAAAGTGATGTCGTCACTGTTGGTTCAATGCACATCAAGGTAAATGGAACTGCTGAGGCTGCCTCTGAGGTTACAAATATAGGATCTACTATTGAATCCAAGACAATGAAGCTTGATGATAACAAAGGTCCTATATCTGAGGACAGTGCATCGCTGAAATGATGTTTGTGCATTATGTGGGTTTATGTACATCAGCAAGTTAAGTGTGTTCTCATCTTCAAAGTTTCTGAAACCAACCTATAGAATCTGTTGTTACCTTTCCGATATTCATGTTTCTGTGTTAAATCTGACCCTGGCATTAAGCTCAGTTTGGCAGAGTTTGTTCACCATTTGTTGTTTCTCCGTTTAGCTCTCGTGTTAAGGTGATTGGTCTAGAGGGATGGGGGATATACTTTTTCTTCTTTGTTTTCGTTATTTTAATGTGGAAGTTTACAGAATGTAACCTCTTCTATTACTATGTTACAACATCGACAAATCCAAATACAAATGCTACAATTATTCTCTTTTAAATTTGAATCCTGCTGTTCATATCTTATGTTTTTCTTTTTAATCTCTCGGATGCTGGTAACCAGGTCTGGAGTCGTTTGACCAATCCAGTCTTTTGGATTTATATGAAGAGATAACTGTAAGTTTGGATATAACATTTGGAGTCGTTTGACCAATCCAGTCTTTTGGATTTATATGAAGAGATAACTGTAAGTTTGGATATAACATGCATTTGCTCTGCTGATTTCTTTTAATTTATATGAAGAGATAACTGTAAGTTTGGATATAACATGCATTTGCTCTGCTGATTTCTTTTACCTTATATTTTCTTAGCTTTGCAACTTCCAGCGTGTGGCTCGAAGTCAAATCTTAAGTCACCTACAGCAGTGATTTCTGAATACATTTTCAGTACAAATGCATTTTCGCGGTACAAATGCTTGCATATATCTTCTCTCTTTTCCCCCCCTTCTTTTTGATATGGTTAGACATATGCTAATGAATGTTTTTCACATGCCTACCATCTTTTGCATAGTATAATGTATACTGGATATATAGAAAAAAGACTGATTGTGCCACTTTTTGCCTTGTTTCACTCCTGGTATAGATTATGGGCTCTGAGTATATATTCTGTACTGAAGAGGATACCAGAGTAGAGCAAGTACTTTTTTTTGCTCATCTTTGGTTTGGACAGGTGAATGATTGTAACATGGAAGCTTCAGTCCTTACTTTGAAGCCTTGGGATCTGAATTCAAGCATGGTGCAACCTTTGCCATCTCTGGTAAGAAACACAATCACACGCTTCAAATCCTTTTCCTCTGCTTGTTCAAGTCCAGTGTCTTCGCTTTTAAGTCACCATCTGTGGAGCTCATAGTTACAAGCTGTACTCATCTTTTTAGTTTGTGCATTAATTCATAGTATCAAGTCTCTTATTGCATTACTACTGCCATACTATTGTAATAACGAACACAAAATGTTTCCTCTCTGCTGTAGCCTGTAATTGACGATGATCCATTATAATCTCTTTTTCGTTGTTAAGAAATAATATATTTTTTGCTTTAGTTTGCGTTTTCACAGAATCAAGTCTTGTTCTTGCGATATTACTGCAAAACCATTTGTCATATTGAACACAAAAATGTTTCCTCTGTGCTGTAGCCTGTACTTGATGATGATCCATAATAAGCTTGTTTTTGTTGTTAGGAAAACGATATATCTTTTGCACGTTTGTGAACGATATATCTTTTGCACGTTTGTGAACAATCTAATTTCAAGCATCATGCAATAGTTGTGACCGCTTCAGCGAGAATTCGAGTGCGCTTGAAATCCTTTTTCTTAGCATGATCATGGCGGAGGCCTCCAGTTCTGTTGCCTTTAGGTTAAATGTCTTTTATCGCACTGTTACTGACAAATCATGTAATGTTGGATACAGAACGTGGATGCAAATCTGTTTTCACTGTGCTGCACTTGATGGTTCATTTTATTTTATTTTAGGGTGGTGGTGGTGGTGATTTTTTTTCTTTTTTTTCTTTTATTTTGTTTTTTTAGCTTTTTTTCATTTACAATGCATTTGCGCACATTAGTGAATGATCTCATGTTTTAATTTGTGGTGGCCATCTTAGCTTTTGCTCTTTTTTTTTTTTATTTTTTTGGTTATGAAAATGATATATATCAGCAGATTAATAATGATCTTATTTCAAATCCTTTGCAGTTTCTTCCATTTTAAAGAAACTATCTTTGAGCTCGATGCACGGGGTATTATTTTCCTTCTGTTTTTCTTTTCACATTACAAGTCTGTTATGATGTTATCGACAACTTGCGTAACGTTGGATACAGATATATTCTCACTGCTCTGCGTTTGTTGTCAAGAGACGATACCCCGTGCACGTTGATGAGCACCTGATTTTGTGTGAGTCTGTGACATGGGTTATGATTTATGAAGATCTTATGAAAGAGGGAGGTTTCAGTCGGAGGCCGGAATGGTGTATTATATGTTGCCTCTGGTTTGGATGTTTCATCGGTGATGAACTGAATCAAGAGTTGCGACCACCACAGCCTGCAATGATATCTATCTACTAAAAAAAATTCAGGTGTTTTTTGTTTGGACAAATTTCTGAAAGCGCCTGTTTTTAATATTTAAATAGCAAAAACGGCCTTTTGGAAGAAAAAAAATTAGCAAAACCGACCATTTTCTTCAGAAAAAGAGTCGTTTTTGCTGTTATTGTGATTTAGCGAAGTGTACGGGGCTACTAGTCCCGTACACTTCATTTCTGTTATCGTGAGGAAAATAGAAATGAAGTGTACGGGTTTACTAGTCCCGTAGTCCCGTACACTTCGCTAAATCACAACTGCAAAACCGATCATTTTCTTCAAAAAATGGTCGGTTTTGCTAATTTTTTTTCAAATGGTCATTTTTATATTTAATTATTAAAAGTGGGTGCTTTTAAAAATTTGTCCTTTTTGTTTTTGTTTCAAAAAAAAAAATTAAAAACGCGGGTGATATGTGGCCTCGGTGCGATTAGTCCCATTTTTACTATGAAGGATGACGTGTGAAAAAGCTATTTGGATCGATAAATAGTACAAATTCTTCATCTCCTATTCCAATCTTATTAATTTGTAGTTATCTTCCTTTCGGAGACAATTCTTACTACATCTAGTGTGAGAATTGGGGAGTAATAAGTAAAATTAGCAATTGAGGTATCTATCCTCACCAAGAGAGCTATACGTACGTGTGATCTTATCTGCCTTCTTACTAATGATTTTAAGGATAAAAAAATTCACTAAGGAAACTCTCTATTCACAACAAATAGAATTGCATGGAACTATTTGCAATTGGGTGATGCTACTAAGGGTCTGGTAGCAATTAACCCTTTAATATATTATGGAATTAAAGATGCAATATTTTGATTAAATCCGTATATTGTTATGCTCACAATAATATGCAACCTCAAAAAAAAAGCACAATAACAACAAATTAAACACCCTCTAATAAAAAGGAAGTCTAAATCCCTTTGTAAATTTGCACTTCACATGTCGTACGCCCCCGCCGGCCCCGGGTTGAAATTCTGCAATATATGATTTTTTTTTTCTTTTTGATATTAGTCTCATAAATATCCAATATTTTTTAATTTTGTTGCAATATATGATTTTTTTAAATTTTTTATATTAGTTTCATAAATATTCATTTTTGAATCAAATCCCTCAAATCATTGAAATTGCTTTTAGACCCCACCCCCCCCCCCGCCCTAACGCCCTAAAACGCCACACACGCACACGCACACGCACAAAAGCAAGTCACCTTCGTACACCGTTAACCGAACGGTCGCGAACATCCCAGAATCGTACAAGACGCCCTTTCAATTTCCCCGCGCTGCTTTCAAAACTCTTGCACCCAACCACACACCACCGCCCTCAATGCGCTTCCCGCCACTCCGTCTCCGGCCGGGCTTCAACCCCGGCTATCCTCTCGGCCAACAACCTGCATCGCCGCCATGCCGGCCTCGGCCAGATCATCTGGCCCGCAAGGTGTTCGACGAAATGCCGGAGCGAACCGTCACCTCCTTCAACTCCCTCATCGCTGCCTACTTCCAAAACCAACAGCCTCACCAAGCCCACCAACTGTTCACCACAATGCCCCAACGAAACACCGCCTCGTACAACACCGTCATCTCCGGCCTAATCAACTCCAACCAATTCTCAGCTGCGCTGTCCCTCTTCGCCTCATTGCCCGACCCCAATGTCGTTTCTTGGACCACGATTCTTCGTGGTTATGTGCGAGAGAGGCTTATCTCAGAAGCAGAGAGCTTTTTTTGGAAGATTCCGGAGAAGAATGTAGTGACGTGGACGGTTATGGTCGGGGGATTGCTTGGAGAAGGGAGGGTGGAGGATGCTAGGAGATTGTATGATGAGATGCCGGAGAAGGACGTGGTGGCGAGGACGAGCATGGTTTGTGGGTATTGTAATGCGGGGAGGACGAGGGAGGCGAGGGAGGTTTTCGACGAGATGCCAAAGAGGAACGTGGTTTCGTGGACCGCGATGGTTTCGGGATATGCACATAATGGGCAAGTATGGTTTTCTCGAACTTTAACAGGGGCTTTTACAGTTGCAAGTAAATTCACCAATTAGGAGAGTTGGTAAGATTATAGTTAATGGTGCAAAGGCGACTAGAGGTGGTCCTAAAAGAAACTGTTTAGAAAAAATTAAGAAGTTATGATAATGGTTAAGTGAGGAGATGACCCCAATAGACATGAATGGAATATTAGGATTGATATAAGCCAAACCCAAAATTTTGGGATAATTGTTTTGTTGTTGTCGTAACGGCACATAAGTTTCTGGAGATGATTAACTAGGATGAGCTGAAGTATGTCTAATGATATTCATATATGGTTGTTTATGCACATAATCTTTAAAACGTTTTCCTTTTAGGGAAATATGGTTTAGAAATGAAAAGGTTAAACTCGTCACATATGCCTTCATTTGGTGGATCATTTGTAGGAAAATCTGTTAAATGGTATTCTGATCCCTCCATTCCCTTATATTTCCATCTTTATTTATATTAGTTTTTGGTTAATATCTTGCATTGGATTGTACCTATTTATTACATATCCTTTAATGAGATTTCATAAGAGTACAATTAAAAATCCGTCATATAAGGGGCTAGTTTAGTTCCAAATTTTGGATTTTCCGATTCTGACCAATTGAGAATCCTCCAAAATCCTGAAAATGTTCATGTTTTTGGTTAATTGTGGAGCCCACTTCTCTTTTTCTCTGCAAAATCAGGTAACGAATAGAGGGTTTGTGATGCAGGAATTCACTGTCTTTTTTAGCATTAATTTGATGTGAATATGAACATATTACCTATATCAGTCCTGTTTGTATCCCTACTCGTAGGTGGATCTTGCAAGGAAACTCTTTGAAGTGATGCCAGAGAAGAATGAAGTTTCGTGGACAGCGATGCTGACTGGATATGCACATGCTGGACGGATTGAAGAGGCAGCAGAGATTTTTCATGCGATGCCAGAGAAACCGTTGATAGCTTGCAATGCGATGATTACTGGATTTGGGATGAACGGAATGGTTGACGAAGCAAAAGAGGTTTTTCATCGGATGTTGGAGAGAGATGAAGCCTCATGGAGCGCGATGATTAAGATTTATGAGCAAAATGGTCTACAAATAGAGGCATTGGATTCTTTTCGTTCAATGCAAATGGCTAGATTCTGTCCGAATTACCCCTCTATCATCAGTATTCTTACTGTCTGTGCTGGCCTTGCAATTCTTGGCCATGGCAGGCAGGTTCATGGGGTAATAATGAAGCACCATTTTGATTCTGATGTATTCATTGTTTCGGCTCTGATCACAATGTATATTAAGTGCGGTGATCTCCCTAAGGCTAAGAGGCTCTTTAATATGTTTCATTCAAAGGATGTTGTGATGTGGAACTCCATGATCACAGGCTATTCTCAGCATGGACTAGGAGAGGATGCTTTGAGACTCTTTGAAAGTATGATCTCAACAGGAATGGTTCCTGATGAAATAACTTTTATCGGTGTTCTTTCAGCATGTAGCTATACTGGAAAGGTCAAAGAAGGGAGAGAGATTTTTGAATCCATGAGCTCAAGATTCTCACTTGAACCAAAAACCGAGCATTATGCTTGTATGGTCGATCTCCTTGGCCGAGCTGGGTTTGTTGATGAAGCAATGGATTTGATCAAGGAGATGCCAGTTGAGGCCGATGCTGTTGTGTGGGGAGCTCTGTTAGGTGCATGTAGGACCCATAAAAATTTTGAGATTGCTAAAATTGCTGTCGAGAAGCTTTCACGTCTAGAACCTGGGAACTCTGGGCCTTATATTTTGCTTTCTCATATATATGCTTCTAGTGGGAGATGGAAAGATGTTTTCGAGCTGAGAAAAATTATGAGCTCGAGGAATATAAGTAAGTCTCCAGGATGTAGTTGGATTGATATTGAGATGAAAGTGCATATGTTTACCGGTGGAGATATGTTGGCTCATCCTGACCACAGGATTATTATTGATATGTTGGAGAGGCTCGATGGGTTGTTGAAGGAGGCAGGATATTGTCCTGATGGTAGTTTTGTGCTCCATGATGTTGATGAGGAGCAGAAATCTCAAAACTTGCGATACCACAGTGAACGACAAGCTGTAGCATATGGTATCCTTAAAGTTCCAGAAGGCTTGCCAATTCGTGTCATAAAGAACTTGAGGGTGTGTGGGGATTGTCACTCAGCTATCAAGTTGATTGCGAAGATCACCGGACGAGAGATTATCTTGAGAGATGCCAATAGATTTCATCATTTCAAGGATGGCTCTTGTTCTTGTGCAGATTATTGGTGAACATTTCTCCTTGGTCACATGGTAAGGCAATCTTTTTTTTCCTGGCAATACTTGCTGATATTTTTCTTATTTGGTTACTTAATCCATACTATGTCATAAAAGTAGCTTGCCAAGATATCAATATATATTTCATCTGCAATTCTTTTGGCGGCCGCCGCACGCCCCTCACCCCCCTCTGTTTTTGTTAACATCTATTAGTAAGAGAGAGGTGGTTTTTTTTTTTTGGGGGGGGGGGGGGGGTGGGGGGGGGTCCTCATGATTGGTTTTCTAGAGGATATTAAGCATGTAAATGTCAGAGGTGATACTGGGTATTTGGGTTCATATTTTGAATGAGCAAATCAAGCAACAGGTAGCATCTAAAGTCTTTAATTGATAATGATATGTCAACTGGAAGTTATCTTGAGAATGCACATATCTGGCATCCAAAGAAGAAAGTGGATTTGAATAAATATAGTAGACCTTCAGAGCATTCAAATTTTATATTAACCTTGTGAGCGAATCTATATTTAGAGAAGATTCTTTTAGAAATATTCTTAGAGTCTAAGGTTGTGTGGATTATCACTTTTGAGTTGGATCAGACTTTCAGCTTCCAAAAATTTAACAGACTGCTTACACAAAAATATTACATGCCTCAGATTCAGGACTAGCTTGCTAGGATTTCATAGATATTCTCTAGGAGGTGAAAAGAAATGAGAGAAGCAGTTCTATATTATAGAGCTCATTACAATTATAAATAGACCTATGGTAGAACATAAAGAATTCTAGAAGTATAGGGTTATAAACCTAGAAGACAAACACTTGTGTGTTGGGATTCGAGTTTGTTAGATTTGTTTAACTTCTGATATAAAAACCGAAGAATGGTTATGAATGGTCCATAAAAGGGCAGAAACAAAAATCAATATGATTTTTTTTACTTGTTAATGCTCATTTTTCATTCAATTAGGTCCCCATGCTCATCAAAAAAGTACTTTATATTTTCTAAGTATGCTTTTCATATTACAATTTTTTGTTACTATGCTCGGAAGCATATTGATTCCTTTCATGCACTTACGACTGAAAACAAGTCTAAGAAGGAAATCAATGTTTCTTTAGTATTTTAGTCCAACCAAGACTTGTAACTCATCCAAATTTTGGAAAGTCTTGCGTTAATTATTATGATATAAAATCTATAAATAATCCTAGGGATTGCAACTGCCAGCAATTGTTTTGCTTCATAAGGATCTGACTTATATGAATGTATCTTCATTCAAGTCTTCATCTTGTAACGTGATATGGATCAGATTAGATAAATCTTAGCATCATTTAAGCCTCCAGTTGTATACTTTTATATAATTGTAAAAATGTCTAAAGGCTGCCTTGACTTTCTGTTTATATCTCAAGTGGCTCACTAGCACGTGGGCCCTTGGTCAGTTGCATTAAATATAGCATTACTTGCAGATAGACCCCCTTCACTATCGCCCAATTGCAGATAGACACCATGTAGTTCTATTATTGTGGATAGACCCCTTCTACTATCGCCCAACTGTGGATAGACCCTCTA